TCCCTTGCTTAGTCTTTTTAATACATTCTGTGCACTCTTGGCAGGGTCCGAACTTCGTTGTGGTCTGTTTTGTAGTAACAGTAGTTCTCATCTTTCTAACAGGAGGGGATAAGGAATGGACAGGCTGATGAGTCTGAACAAGTTCTTCCCATAATACTTCACACAGCCCTTCCCATTCAGGTTGTAAATACTGACTCCTAGTATTGTTACATAGAAAGTAGAGATAATCAGTGCTTTCCCCTTCTGTGCCACAACCACTGTACCACAAGGCCTTCCCTATCCAATGGCACCTTGGGTCTCCCCTGGTTGCATTTTCACACATCTGGGTAATTCCACTCATCCACTCTCTACTTTGATTTTTACAAGTCCAAGCTGGATCTCTCTGGGTTTGCCTTGGTGTTACTTCCAGAGTCAGATTACATCCATATTGAGTAGTTTTCCAGTATTGGAACTCTCCCTTTTGATGTCCCCCACCTTTTAGACAGATAATAGTACTAGTTGCTCTCTTTTCTCTCCGCAGAAAGTGTCTCCTCATAGCCGAAGCTGTCCATATCCACAAGGGAATAGGAGGAAATTCAAAGGAGTCTGGAGAAGCCACTAAAGAGTGACTAGTCAAATAAGTTTTCCCTTCCCACATGGTACAGGTATATTTACCTATAGTCTCCCTGGTTACTTGTAAATATAGAGTATTTTGACACTTACCCCCTTTATTTTGCGTTACCCAGCTTTTCTCCTGACCTACTTGCTGCCAGTTTGGTTGCAACTTAGATTCACGCCACCAAATTTTGGGTTCAAAGATCCAATTCATGGGACAGTGTTCACTCTCTTTGTCATTATAACACCGAATTTGTGTCCAAGTTCCATTAGGTTCAAAGATTCTAGGCGGCTCAATCCATAATTCTCCCCCAATCGCCACTATTGTTATATTCAAAAGGATATAAGTCATTGTCTTTTTAACACCAGTTTCAATGGTTCTTTTTGAAATGCTTTCCATGTCTCCGACTCCTCAAGATTAGCCTTCTTTACTCGGGTATAATGAGTCCAACCCTTTTCTTGTGTCCGAATGGCAGTATCTGTGGTCAATAACACCAAGAACGGTCCATCCCACTTCGGTTTGAGGGAATCATCTTTCCACGTCTTTATCCACACTTGGTCTCCGACTTCTATGGAGTGGACTTTGAAGCTTAGAGGAGGAGTTTGTATCAAATAGCCAGTTTTTCTGAAAGAATCAAAAGTCTGGGACAGTATTTGCAAGTATTGAATCAGTCCCTTATCTTTACTAGGTAGATTCCCCATTTGTATACCAGCATTTCTTAGTGGCATGCCAAATAACATCTCATAAGGTGAAATCCCAACATCCCTCCTAGGTTGTGTTCTTATTCTAAACAGGGCTATAGGCAAAGTTTTCATCCAATTCATTCCTGTTTCCAAATTGAAGTTTTCCCTTGCTCACTCTCAGGCCTTGTTGGGCTAGAAAGTTTAGCAAGGCAATTGTTCCCTCCTCAGTGTCTGTTTTCTTTTTGCCTGATATTAATAAATCATCTACATACTGAATCATTTTTACGCCTTTTGGCAATTTGAATTTCTCCAAAGTTTGCTCCAACACCTGTCCAAACAAATTTGGGGATTCTGTAAATCCTTGGGGTAATACAGTCCACTGGTATTGTTGTTTTCTTCCAGTGAAAGGATTCTCCCATTCAAATGCGAATAATGCTCTACTGTCTTTGTCCAAAGGACAAGACCAAAAGGCATCCTTCAAATCTATCACACTAAACCATTTGTGTTCTACAGGTATTTTACCCAGAATGGTATAAGGGTTTGGAACCACTGGATGTCTGGTCTCTACTATCAAGTTCAAGAGCCTCAAATCCTGTACCATTCTGTAAGTACCATCAGGTTTTCTCACAGGTAGGATGGGGGTATTATAGGGTGACATAGTTCCCTCCAATAACCCATCCTTTACTAACTGGTCTATTACTGGTTGAAGACCTTTTCTTCCCTCTATTGAAATGTTATATTGTTTTTGGCTTACTACCTCACTTTGGGGCTTCAGTTTTATTTTCAGAGGCTCTATTTCCAATCCACCTCTATTGCCTGGTTGTACCCAAACTAAGGGGTCAATTTTCTGTTCCTTCTCTTCTGTTAGAACATATGCTGTTTCGTTTTTATCAAAACTTATTGTAAGCCCCAGTGCAGACATCAAATCTCTTCCCATAATATTAATTCCTGCTTCAGGTACATATAACAACTTCAGGGTCCGAATTTCATTTACCCCATATTTTATTTTTATTGGTTCCAATTGTTTTACATCAAAAGCCTCCCCTTTTACCCCACTTACTTTAATTTTTGTCTGTTTGTCAAATTTTCCTTCCCTTGGCATCACACACACAGAAGTGCGAGATGCTCCAGTATCCACCAAAAAGGTGTATTCCTGGGTTCCCACCTCCAAATTTATCAAGGGCTCCCGGCGGGAACTCCTAATCAGGGGCCCCTGACTTCCCTAGTAGATGTCTTCATCCTCTTCCATCATCCTATTGATTTGCTCTTCTGAGGCCAGAGTTGGGCATTCTCTTTTGAAATGTCCCATCTTCCCGCAGTGAAAGCAAGTTCCTCTCTCTCTTACCATTCTTCCTCTGGTCATTCCGCCCCTGCTTCTCATTCCTGGTCTTCCTCTAAACTCGACACTTCCTCTTCCTCTCCCTCGTGGCACCCAGCCTCGCCCTCTTCCTCTCCTGGCTGCACTTGCATCACTTCCTTCACCGCAATCGCCATCATCCTGCTTGTCCTTTGACCATCTCTTTTCACTTTCTCTTCCTCTCTATTCACATATATCTTCTGGGCTTCTCTTAACAATACTTCCAGAGATTCTGCAGTCCAATTCTCCCTCTTCTGCAATTTCTTGGCGATGTCTGGCCACGCCTTAGTCACAAACTGAATCTTAACAAGTTGGACATTTAAGGCATCGTCAGGATCCGCCCCAGCGTACTTCCGCAGTCCGTCTTTAAGACGCTGCAAAAAGGTGGCGGGAGCTTCCTCTTTTTCTTGTTCTATATTTATTGCACGTGCCATATTCTGTGTTTTAGGAATAGCCTCTTTCATCCCTTTTATTATTATTGATCTTAAATCCTGCATATTTCTCCTTCCTCTTTCCTCGTTATTATTCCAATCTGGTCTCACCAAAGGATATTTAACAGCCCCCGCATCCTGATTCCCACCATCTACTATTGGATTCTCTCTTTCCCATACCGCCATAGCAGCTACTCTAATTAAATTTCTTTCTTCTGGGCTGAATAAAATTCCCATTATATTTTGTATTTCATCCCAAGTGTAAATATTAGGGCCTAACAAAGAATCCAACTGATCACTAGCCCCCAGAGGATCTTCTATAAAACTTTTCATCTCTTTCTTAAAGGCCCTTACTTCTGAAGCCTTAAGTGGTTCTTGAACATATGTTATTATCGGGGCTCCCTGAGCATTGACTCCATTTGGAGTTTCCCTCAGGGGAAACTGCCGAACTTTCTCTCTCTCTTCCAACTCTGCTGCCAAATTCTTTTTCACTTCCTCACCCTTATTCCCTATTTCAGAAGAGAAATGGGGTGTTAATACAGGAATGGGTGGTATAGGGTATTGGGGGGTCCGATATGGATCCTGACTTTCTGGACTCAAAACAGGCATAGAGGGACTTGACCATTGTTCTGGGGTTAACTGGCTCACTCCCTCTGGTAATTCTGGATATAATGGTGGTGTTAATACATTTACTGGATGAGGAGGGTTTTGGATATGATTAGGATTATAAGGGGGTGGAATACTCTTTAAGAGATCCCTCCCCTTTTCTTGTTCTTCTTCTTCCTCATCTGTTTTTGTCACGAGAATGTGCTCAGTTGGGTTCCAAAGATCTGGCACCCAAATTAGCGCATAATCTAATTCATTATCTAAACTCTTACATTTCTTTTTCTTCACATAGTTATATAAATTGTGACACTGAAAATAATCTGTGGAGCCATTCCTTGGCCACTCCACATTATCGTCCTCCCACCAAACAAAACAACATAAATTGACCATATCTTCTTTATTCAACCCCAACCTCAAAATCTCCCGGTTATAGGGCGGGGATCCCCATCCAGCCAATATTTTGCCCAAAGGGCCATTCGGGTCGATTTTAAGTTTGGGGTTTTTACGGATCCTTTTAACACACTTTGTCCCTGAATTGGTCGACCCTGTATTTCCCCCCATTTCTTTTATGGGTGCTCAGCCTATCTTGAGTATGTGTGCCTATGTCCCTCCCAGCAACTCCTTCTCAGTTCCACACGTCACCGTCTCCGGATATTCAGTAATATCCCCTTCACTCACTCCGTCCTGCAGACCTCCCCGAGGTCCCTCAAAAGGACTTCCACCCGGCCCCGTTGCCAGTTCTCACATCCACACACTCTATCCCGACCGCCCTGGACTCTTGTGTTCTGGTGTTTTCAAACCAGTACTCACCAGGGTCTGCGCGCAGATGTTACCCGGTCTGTCTTCAGGCTGTTCCGTACTTTATTCACCCTCCTCCTAATACTCGTCTTTATTGAAATTTTACGGGTTTCCAAGAGCTTCGCAGTCCTCTGGGTGGTTCCCCTCCTTTCAAAAGGAAAGGGGTGCACCTAAGGAGGACCCCTCAGAGTCCCAGCGCAGATTGGATCCCGGTCGAGCCCCCAATTTGTTTGTAGAATTCCTTGAAAGAAATTCAGAGACGAGGTTCGGAGTAGTAGAATAAAGTTTCTTTTATTATCAAAGTTGAGTTTAGTAAAAGGAAACGGTTTGCAAAGCGTGGTGGAACTCAGCCATGCACTCACAGGAGTTACAGGGAAGAGCCACACCTCCTACAGAAGCGTAACAGCAGTTATACCCCTCCCTATCTCCTCCTATACCTACGTCAGCTATTCCTGACGTGGCAGGTCACAAACCTATCAGACGACACAATTATCCTACCTTACCTCCTACCTTACCATATATGGGTATTCTTTTGTTCTCTACATGTGGACATTCTCTACTTAGTTTCAGGCACGTACTCATGTTTTCTTGCACATGCTCAGTGAGCCTGTTGCTGAATAGAAAATTTTAAACTTTTCTAAAACCTTCCCATTCACATAATACAATCAAATATTGGATATGAGATCCGATGTTGGGAGAAGAGAGACATTGGTTTTACAAGTGGCAGAGTCAGGCAGATATGAGAAGAGTTCTTGCAGACATAGCATTCATGTAACTGGTCTTATAAGCTTTTAAAGTTCTGAAAGCAGTTTGACAATATTGTGAAAAGTCTTATAATTGTCATTGCTGTGTGTATCACAAAGGAAGCAGCATACTGCTTATTGTACAAATTCACCAATCATTAATAACAAAAGAAAATATTGTAACTGAGTGCTATTGTGTCTTCCTTCTTAATATGTTGCATTTTGTGTGTGTGTATATTATATATATACTCTAGTCAGCCTAAATATATATTCTACTGGAGTGCTTGGGTACATTTAAACAATGTATGTGCTAGAATGTAATAGCACCTACCTATTCTTAGCTGATCTTTAAAAAAGTGTAATCAACAAGAAATCCAGCTCATCTAAGAGAGTCCTTAACTTACTATACCAAATCTCAGTTGTTCACATGAAAATAAAATAAGTAAAATAAAATAAAACTCTCTTCATTTATATATACAGTATAAACCCCAGTAAAAAAAGTTAAATACAATATATATAGCAGGAAATACAACCCTGGAATACGTATCAATGACATGGTTATTTTGCAAAATAATTCTGCCCACAGTTCCTGTCAAAAATCTTTTTCTTTTTAAGTGAGCTTCATCCAGGGGGGTGATACTGGGTGCTCGCTCATGTGCTGCTCCCTCTTCCAAAAGTACACTCAAGGTGGCAAGATCAATGTCAGTATCGTGATAGCACCCATCAAAGGCCATGGCTTGCATTGCATCAATGTTATACAACCCAGCAACCTAGAAGGAAGAACAATTGAATCAATGGATTTACTTCACTGGGGAACTCATGTTGCAGCTGTAGTCTTCCACAGTCTGTGTCAGGCTGAATAGAAAACAGACACAACAGGCATTAAGGCATACAAAGAACTTCTTTGTTTTGTTGTAGAAAAGCCAGTGAAGCTATTATGAAAGAATATTAAAAGAATTTCAGTGAATTCCATGTCTCCAATAGCCATGTTTATAGTGAACTCAGGGTTTATATTCTTTGGTCTTTTTTTTTAAATCTTCATTGTATGACTACTTGAATCTATTTCCTATTTCTTGGTTAAGGACTAACCTGATATCAAACTGTTTTATTCCAACAAGCCTACATTTTTCAGTTGTCCTGAACTACTCTTCCTATCATCCACAGCCAAATACTAAGGAAAATGTTGCCTTGATATAGTTTTGATATTCTCATTTTGGAAATTGTTTTAATATAGAAGTATTTTCATCAGTGATATTCCTTGTATACTAAAGAGAGTCATGTGTGAAAGTTGTCAATCTGGAACAAATTAAGGGACTCATTTTAACTTGGATTTATTTTCCAGTATTTTCATTTATATCACTTACTGCTTCAGCTAAAGTACTCACTTTTTATCTCAGTCACCAGAAAACTAATGTCCTCATGCCAATGCCAATGGCCTCTATTCTGATTTGCAATTGAAAGACATACTCCCATTTCCCATCAATGGAAGATTGTATTCCATATACCTTCTTAGTGTTACCAGCCCATGGGAAAATCATGATTTTCAATAGTTTTGACAGATAACTAGACCCTCCCTGTTTGTTTCCTGTTAGAACTTCCTCTCCCTCCTTCTAATTCTTCCAGCTGGGGGGTCAACTGCCTGGAGTGGAAGGGCATCCATAAAAGGAGGAGAAGAGGGTGTTTTCATGTCTTTGAAACTTGGGGAACAGTGGAGATCTGGCAATAAAGGGCTAAGGCTCAGTTTGGAAGAACCATACTCTCTTTCTGCCCAAAGAAGAATGGTCCTTGAAGATCTTGGAGGACAGGATTTCTGGTTTTGTGTCGTAGCAACAGAGCCAAGGGATTGTGGAGCTCCGCACCCCACAGGTGAATTCATCCTGCCAGGGGACCCTAAATGGGTTTAAAGTCGGCCCAGAGAGGTGACGAAGAAAGAGCCCACCCATTGATCACGGAAAGACAGCGGTCAATCTGTTTGATCTGAGGGAAGCCCTCCAAACCGACAGGAGAAAGGCTAGCTGCACCTCGGTAACTAGCCCAAGCTACTGGCAGCTGAAGCCCAAAAGCACCAACTAGAACAGACTATGAACAGCATGTTGGAAACTGGGTGAGAATATCGATCTTTTCTATCTTGCAACTGATTTCCTGGGAAAATTCCACGAGAAGCAAAAATCCTCTGAAAGTAAGAAGGAAGGGGATCGCCCCACCCTTCCATAGATGGAAGCGGCTCTAATTTTCTATGAAGAACAGAAACATATTGAAGTGGAATTTAATATAAAGCTATAGTCTGGATAAACCTGAAAATTGTGGAAATTGTTAAGATCTTCCATTTGAAAGAGTATTGATGAAATTACAAGAAAACAATTTTCTGTTTTAAAAGTTGGAAAATGAATAGCTACTGACATCTAGCGGTGTATTAGAGTATAAAATTATAGCTGTTTTGGCTCAGAAACAGGCAAGATGCCCAGAAACAGATAACAATCTGTCCCTTTGATCCTCAGTGACTTTCAGCTAAGCAGAGAACAGAGAAGAGAAAATACATTGGGCTATTTACTACAGAACTATACAAATGACCTCCTTGGATTATAAACACTTACTGAGCTGTGATCTTTAAGCTCAAGAATTGTTTGCAGAGAAAGAAAAACCTTGACTTTTGGCTACTTTTCTAGGAGGGGAAGCTCCTGAATTGCTCTTAGGTGGTTGAACATTCTGGACTGCAAATGTTGGCTGAGTGATAATTGTAGGATCCCTGAGCAGAAGAACCATTATAAAATATTGCTTTCAGTGGTGGACTGACAATTGGAAACACATCGGGCTATAAAGGCCATACATAAAGATAAGAATTATTCAAGACTTTGTTGTTTGTATCTTAAGATTGGTTGGTTGGATAAGACTAATATTCAGGGATTATGGTACCTGTGAAAGATTATTTGGAGGGGGGAGATAAAATGGATGTTGCATACCTAACTAAAAGTGGTAGGAAACCACATCCAATATTCTTTTCTGAAACTCCCAGCCTGGAACATCAGAGATCTGTAGGAGTAATACTTCAAGACAAGGCAAATATCTTCCAGGAGGAAATGCATGCTATGTTGCAACTAATTCAAATGACAATTACTTCAAATCATGATGAGATTAAAAATAATTTAGATGACATAAATGAGCACATCTTTAACTTAAGTTCATAATTTTAAAAAAATTCAGAAAATTATGATAAAGAATGAACAAATAAATCAGACAATAGAACACAAATCAGAGGAAAGTGACCCTAAGATAGAGGCTACAAACAAAAGGAATTACAGCTTAACACAGCTAAAAAAAATCTGCAAGATTCTGTTATAATATTGGAAAAGGAAAAAGCATCTTATCTTTCAGACTTCAAAATAAACTAGAGGACAAGAAAGAAGATCCATCAAAATGGATTATAGAGACACCAGGAGAACCACCAGAGTTTTGGAGACAAAAAATGAAAAGAGAAACTGGGAGAAGGAAAGTGGAAGCTTTTTAATGAATATAAATGTGTGAAACTCCTCCTCAAAGGTACTCCACCTAATCTGTCTTTCCCATTCCTAATAATATTTATAAAAATATAGGAAAAATTCCCTGGCAAGCTGAACACATTGACTCGGAAAATTGTTTGGTAAAAGAAGAAGGCTAGAGTTAGATTCAAGAAATCAGATAACTTGACTTACCAGATGGAGTACTTCATGACTAAATGCTTGTTTAAATACGGCTAAAAAAATAGATAAATTTTGGATATAAATGGATCCTATACTAAAAGGGATGTGATTTATAAGTAGTATAGCATGTTTTTTCTTTTATGAGATGAGAACTATAAAAATACTGGGATGGCTTATGTGAACGAAATGTCTGGACATTTAAATGTAATTAATTTTGAGAAAATTATAATTGACAAGAATGTTTTGAATATTGAGGGGAAATTAAGCTTAAATAAGAACTTTGAAAACAGGACATATAGTGATTTAATAAAATAATTCTTTCTTATACAAACTGAAACATAAGCTGATTAGAAAAGATGTTATATACTGATGTTGATAGTATTTGTATAAACACTAGAAAAAATGTTTTCATTCAACTTTGTATGAATCGAAAATACTAAGAATTGTACTTAATCAATGTTGGCAAAAGGAAAATATTATTGGAAGAAGAGAAGATCAAAGAAATGTACCACTAGCTAGTATGTTGATTATGGAATCATAGAAATTAATGATTATTGATTGTTGTTAAATTTATGAAACCAGACAACATGTTGTTTACCAAGCACTAAAGATTATTATTGTAAAAAATTAATAAAATATATTTTTAAAAAAGACGTTGGAGGACAGGTAGCATGCCTGCACCAGCCTAAACTAGCAAATTTGTGCCAGGTAGATACCACCACCAGAGATCAACTGACAGCAGCACTTTGTCAATGGTGTGTAAAGCGTGCCAGACTATTCCTATGGTAAAACTGGCACAGCTGGTTGGAAGCTTAAGAGGAGAAATGCTATTCTAATAGGAAAATATTGAGCACTGGGATATAGTATATGATTGGTTTGTCCTGTTCATATACAGAATGACTAATGAGTCCCAAACAGGCTGGAAACAGTCATGTAATGCCTCCTGGTATTCAATGTAAATCAAATAATAAAGCACTCCTAAGCAGAACATTCCAAAGTGCTCTGATATTTCATTGCAGCATAGGTGACAAATTGCAAGAAACAAAAACAAAACCCAATGTTTGCAGCTCTTCCACATGCTTTGATACAAATAAATTCAAACAAGAAAAGGAATAGTAAACTTAAGAGCTATCATCCAATGTCTAATTTAAGGAAGAGCAAATTAGGAGCCTCATTCCATTATATATTCAAGATGGACAGTATTTAATATTTATTTGCTACGTATATGTAGGGATGTGGGTCTATATATATGTTGTTCATAGTATGTTTAGGTGTGCGTTATGTATGTGTTTCACTTTGAGAGCGGGCAACTAAATTTCATTTTTGATGTGTGCCATTGTGCCCACAGTAAAAAAATGACAATAAAGGTTATCTTATCTTATCTTATCTTATCTTATCTTATCTTATCTTATCTTATCTTATCTTATCTTATCTTATCTTATCTTATCTATCTCAGTCCCCATTCCCCATTTCTTCAGTCTCCAAGTCTCCTTTCCTAAATCTGAAACCCTTAATGTCAAATACATTGTGATCTCAGTGATTCTGAGGGGCCCCATAAATTTCTGTTCCAAAAATGGAACTTTCCAATATCCAATTACAATGCTATTGGACCTAGTTTCCCTGAGGAATTTTATTTTAAACTGAAATTAATTTGTCAATGTTTAGAATAAACATTATCAAAAGAAGTGAAACTGAGGAAAAAAACACTTCTACATAGTATGGTATTATTGTTTTACTTATTTTTGAATATTTTTACATGAGAAAAATACTTGCAAATATATACCTTTCCTCTATTTTTCAGATGTTTTCGCTCTTCCACTGTTGTGAGATAATTTACAGCTGCATATTCAATAACAGATAGGAAGACAAAAAGAAAGCTGATCCATAAGTATACGTCCACAGCTTTTATATAAGACATCTGGGGCATTGAGGCACTTACTCCGGTAATTATGGTTGACATTGTCAGCACAGTAGTTATACCTGCCAAAAGAAAGGAAAAGTTAGGAGTCCTATCAGTTTGTTCTTGCATTCTATGAAAATATGCACAATAAGGCTATGGGTGGAAATGGCTGTGGGTATCTTGTTTTTCTTTCTTTCCGTGGATAGAAAATGTAGTATTTATTATAACAAATAACTAATGGAACACCTCATATAAAGTTGTTACCAGATTTCAACCAACACACAATAGGCTAATAGGACCACTAATTTATTTATGATTTTGATTGAAAATATGAAGCTGACCTTGATTTTTTTTTTCACTTTACTCTTTGAAAATGATTCAGTTCTATTTGTCTTAGTACTTCAGCATGTAGAATCAGGAAATCTTTTAATTCAAGCTTGGAGAAAAACGCAGTGTGAAGGATATATTTGATTACAATTACAATTATATTTGAATACAATTATCCTGGAACAGATTATGCTTGCTGTGTGGTGGGCATTTTATAAATATTTAATATAAAGCCCAATATTTAGTTAAGATTGTTTATTCTCACTTTAACAATAATAAAATGTGGTGACCACATTACGTGAGAAGAGCAATTATTTACTTTTAAAACATTCTGCAATTGCTTTTTTAGCAAATCCCTATATTATTATTACATCATTATTATAAACTGATAACTCTTAAAAACTGATAGCTCTTAACAGTATATTTTAAAATAGAAGAAAATTCCATACAGGGAATACCGTTATGTTAATTAGGATGAATAATGGAAAATTAATATTCTCTTTTAAATCTTTCCTGCTGTTCTGATTCTGGAAGCAGATACATCAAAACCATGATTGAAAGCTAGGATATCATAATCCATTAAACATGTTTTAAGCATCATAGCTTTCACTTATTCTACAATTAATAATTGAAGAAGAAAGCATTAAAGATCAATTATTTATTTGGTTTCAAAATGTGGCCTTGTATCTTAAGCAGGATTTTAAAACAATAGAAAAGAAAGCATGTAGAGAATGTCATTTTTTAAAAATTCCTTTAGCAAGAAGGTGGCCATAGGAGGCATCTATATTTTTTGTGTGTGAATTTATAGCATAGTACCATATACCTTTTATCTCCAGGGTCAAACTGGGATGTCTACATAGATACTGCCTTTGCCTTGCTTATACATGTGTGTGTTTACTCAGGATGGATTTATATAGGTTGCCTCAGTGAGGGTGCATAGATGTATATGTGGTGTGTGAGAGAATCCAATCAGGATGTTTTCATGCAGAGCAAAGTAATTATTTCCTCTGGAACACACCATTTTCAAGAAATGGTGCTAATAATTCTTTCAGGAAATCTATATTTCCTCTTGTTATATCAGAACACCTTTATGATCAATGGGCGACTTGTGGAAGGAGGAACTCCATTCGTTTTCCTAAAATGGAATAGAAAACTATATAAAACCAGATAGATCGGAATAATTATTATCTGCTTTCCTGTAGTCCAGTGATGGTGAACCTTTTAGAGACCGAGTGCCCAAACTGCAACCCAAAACCCACTTATGTATCATCGAGTGCCGGGTGGGCATGGCCCATTGGGTGGGTATGGCCATTTGGGTGGGCGTGGCCCATTGAGTGGGTGTGGCTGTGGTCATAACAGCAGACTGGGTGGGACTAAAAAGTTCAATCAATCAATTCCAACTTTGTGAAAAAAAAATTTCCCATGAGAAGTTGAAATTGATTGATTGATTGATTGAACCTTTTTTTTTTTTTTTTTTGCACATGGCAGAGGAGGCCTAAAGTGAAAAGGTTTTATAAAACTCAGCTGAAGGCCTAAGACTGGGATGACGGTACACGTGCCCACAGAGAGGGCTCTGCATGCCACCTGTGGCACACATGCCATAGGTTCGCCACCACGGCTATAGTCAAAAAGTTCTTGTAAGACATTTCATAAATACAATGTAACTATTAACCACCAAGCTCTTCAAACAGCCTAAAATGATTTATAATGAAAATTTACCTAATGATACTCTTGCAGGAACAGCTCTTCGGTCTATCCAAAAGGAAACCCAAGATAGCATCACCATCAACATAGAGGGGAAATAGGATTGTAAAACAAAAAAGAAAATATGTCTCCGTAGAACAAAGTTTATAAAAAGTCGATTGTACCAACCTGTAGAAAAACATAGACATATCTTAATATCTAGCACATGCAATTTTATATTATCCTTTGACTTTACAATGCCTTTCTAAAAGAACTACATTTTTCTTTTATGAGAAACTTATTAAATATTTATTAAATGTCCTTTTTTAATGACCTTTAACCCTGAAGTATTCTGTAACATGAATCATTCCATCCCAATTTTGGATTATATTCCCATTTATGTTTTGACTCCACCCATGTTTATTTCACTTGGCTTAATGCTTTTTAAAAAACCTGACATGATAAGGTGACTTCTACTTTTAAATAGCTGCTTTAGCTGTTTATTCTAGAGGTTCTTTATATGAAAGATTTCTCACCTTCACTTTTATTTTTGACACATTCTTTGATATTCAAGCAGATTTCTATAAATAAATTAGTGAGAGAAATCAGGTCTAAATCATGCCTAATCATGCCTTGTCTTGGACAAGGTTGCAGTATAGGTATATTTACAGTATTACCATGGGTTCAGTCCCAACTCCACTTTATAAAACAATCTTTTGCAGTTTCAGACTGATACACTGGGATATAATTTTATCATCCTCAGGTCAATCATCCGGAGACCTCAGATGGGAATATACAAACTACGTTGGGTCCTGTCTTTGAGACTTTTCACCCATGTATGGCTATTTAAACACTGAACAATCTCAGCAAAAATTGGAGAAAGAAGAATTCATTGCATTAGTGAGACTGATAGCAGAGACATCAGCAACTCAACAGTATGCACATCCTGTATAGTATGCACTTAGTAACAAAGAAATTTCATTTCTGCAATACACCAACCCAGCTCTAAAAAGAAATAAGAAGATGGAGAGTAAAAGAAATGTTTTTCAACAGTAGGCAAATGTAACTACAGGTAGTCCTCACTGAATAACTGCCTTATTTAGCAACTATTCAAGGTTACATCATATTGAAAAAGTAATTTTACAACTGACCCTCACGCTTACAACCATTAAGCATCTCTATGGTCACAAGAATGAAATTTGGGTGCTTTGCAATCAGAGAGCATTTACAACCATTGCAGTCAGGTGATTACCATTTGCACAATTCACAGTTGAACAATTGTATTATCAATCTTACAGCAAAGTTGTTCCTTTCTTAGACATTGCCACAAAATTCTATTTTAATAAATTGAATGTGAAGTTTTGAATAAGCATTTGCTGACAATTTATTAAAGTCTCCAAAAATTATTCTGATAATGTGTTCTATGGCAGGTACCCTCTTTAAACCATCAGTCAAGTGCAAAAGTATTAAAATGATTTGATATATTCTCACACTCCTTACAAAAGTTTGTAATAACAGCAACGAATTATGCATATACACTATAATTTTGAAAACCCAAGTTTTCGCACCCCCTGGAATATCGTCTCACACCCCCAGTTGGAAACCCCTGGTATAGAAAATTCAAAGTACAAACATGGCCACATACTTCAAGAAAGGATGTGAGGAAAATTCAGCTCATTCATTTAATTAAAAAAAACACATTAGGTCTTTTATTATTATTTTTAAATGGATGTCATATAAAGTTAGTAAAATATAAATCAAAGATTAAATGAACACTATATATCCAGTGTGTGGAAAAATAGCACCTCTTTTGAACTGATTTTCTTTGTAATCCTACTGATATTTTTATTTGCTAAGGTCAAAATAAATACACATTTATCACAGGGCATCTATTTCTCACTCTTAAGAGTACTATACCTGTACTGCTATAGAATGCTAATCCACTAGAAGCACTAAATTCTTCAATGAAAAACTGAGAAAGAGAAATGTACTCATCTATACTTAAAGATTCATTGCCCTGTTTCCAGTACAGCATCAAGTCGTCTTCATTGTAAGCATCTGTGGAATTATTAAAAAAAAGTTGGCTATGATTGTTATTATACATGTATGCACATATCTCCAGCTTCTTGCTTTCCTACTTTGACTGTAATCAATGACATACCTAGCATCCACCTCAAGTGGATTTTTTTTAAACAGCCACCTCCTCTTGGTGTAGTAGTTAAGGCAACAGACAGAAAACAAGAGACTATGAGTCTAATCCTGCCTTAGGCTCAAAGCCAACAAGATGATCTTGGGTCTCTCGCTCTCTCTGAGCCCTAGGAAGGAGGCAAGGGCAAGCCACTTCTGAAAAATGCTGTCAATAAAACTGCAGGGGTCATTGTCAGAAGTCAAAGCTGACTTAAAGGCACACATATTTTTTTCCTATGCCACTGTTGTGCTAGTGCGCTGGCAGTAAGATCCAATTCCATACCAACCTCTATCCTCCTCCTTGTCTTTGGCAGCATTTACATAGAGATAACCTAAGATCTGCACTCTGATCAAACCACCATCACCACCACACTATCCTGGTACACCACTGATTACAGCTTTCATCTTTGTAACCCATAGATGGAAATTTGGAAAGAATTATAATTTTATTAGAAATCTGTTTTACCTCACTATAGCAGCAAAGATTGATAAAATGATCTCTTTTTTTGCCTACCTGATCTATTTAACTATTGGTAAGTGGTTTCCAAGCCCTGCCTTGCTAATTTCCTATCTTGACACCAGATTTGAGGATGGTAGTTCATCAGCCTTTCAAATAAACAAAGGAGTGATTATATGGAATCATGTCATTTTATCATCTCATATAAAACCTCTACCAAACCACCTGGTTTTTAACCTGCCTCATTTTGCCTGGTCAAAATTGAACAATTAGATATACTGGAAGAAGGAGTAACTAGGACTGACATGATAGCAGTAGTCCAGTATTTCAGGGGCTACCATAAAGAAGATGGGGTCAATTTATTTTCCAAAGCACCAGAATGCAAGACAAGAAACAATGGATGGAAACTGATCAAGGAGAGAATCAACCTAGAACTAAGGAGAAACTTCCTGACAATTAACCAGTGGAACAGCTTGCCTTCAGAAGTTGTGGGTGCTTCATCATTGGAGGTTTTTAAAAAAAGACTGGACAGCCACCTATCTGAAAGGTTATAGGATCTCCTGCTTGATCAGGAGGTTGGACTAGAGGACCTCCAAGGTCTCTTCCAGCTCTATTTTAATTGAAATTGAAAAGTGTCTCTGCCTTGTATCAGTGGGGATGGAAATATTCTCCTTGTTGCGATTGTGATGTTGATATGCAAACTATTAAACATATTGTGCAAGATATGTTCTCTGGTTTCCTAGAAGATCTGGATGAAACAATACAGAAGCAATCACCTGGATAGCTGAATTGGACATCCAGTTATGAGGTCGCTACCATATCCCCATAGAAGTTTCACTTATAATTAAGTGGACTGTGTATATACTGTATGTTTACTTATCTTCTATCATGTTCTCATTATATGCGAAAGAATAGTCTCATATGATGTAGATCTTGTCTCGATTGGCAAGACGTTCAGGGGGATGGGGTTTCTATTTATTTTCTTAAATTTTATTATCACATTTTAGGACATATATTAATATTTTCTATGTTCTCCATCTCAGATTGAAAAAAATGCATTTGTTTTTGGCAGGTCTGGTCAGAAGGGACTCCCAAAAGAAGGTTTGGATCTATGTTGCTCAGGAGCTTACACTGCTAAAATAAAAGACCCCTTCAAATAGAGTATTGTTCTTCAAATGGAGCAGTAGTAGTTAATCCTAGGATAGATTTTGGAATCTTTGGTACTCTCTCAGCATGGTGGTTTGCTTGTAGGCATTTTATTACTGACAGGAAAATTGTCAGTGCAAACAAGTGTGATGTTTACTCCCTGTGTAGATACCATAGTTTGCCTTGCCAGTTTGGGTGGGGGTGTAGTGTTCCTGGTAGTTCCTTGACTAGGATATTATTTTCTGTTTGATTGTTTGCCTGGTGTTGATACAGTACCTGTTTACTTGAATGTTGGCTGCTGGAGATGATGTGTTCTGACCTTTTTGTTTGTTTTTTTAGCTTTTTTACTCACTAAAATGGCATGTAAATTATTTCTTTGTGTCTACTGAAGGCTGATTTGTCTGAAGGCTAAGCTTTCAGGAATTCCATAGTGCTTCTGGATTTAGATTGGTCTAGATTAGAATGCTTGTGTCCCAGTTGAAACTATTGTTGAATCTGTCCATGTACTGTGAAGTTAAAGAATTGTCATTTTTTGTTCTGGCTGTTACTTGGTGTTCATAGATCTGATCTGCCTATCTTCTGCCTGTCTGACTGCTTCTTAACCTCTAACTAAATTTAGTTAGAATGTGAATGGGAGACCTCCAAGCTGTACGCTAGGGTAGGAAATAAAAATAAAAAATAAAAACATCCTGGAAGAAAGTAGTGACAAACTATTTCATTGCTAAGAAAACAAAATTCCCTTTTGAATTGAGGGAAACTTTGTGTTTACTCTACCACATTCAAATTGCAATGTGGTAGCCATATTTGGGGTGTTTCTGGGGCTATGGTTGAGTTTTGGGGAAATGTGGCTAATGGCTGGAGATTATCTTGGTTTTGTTCATCCATTGTCAAGAGCACAGTTGATCAAAGATGAAAAGTTAAAACTTGTAATATATTTACTGGCACAGGATAGGAACTGGTTACTTTGTCTTGTCTGTGAAGATTCTCAGTCATCCAGGTCATGGTTGTCCCAAAGGAGTTTTTCAAAAGGCAACTGGACTTTGTTTTTTCTTTAAAGACATTTTGTTTCTCATCCATTCGGACTGAATGATGGAGAATGGAAGGATTTATATTCTTTGCAGTCAAAGAGGCATGACTGCAAATAATATAAATCCTTCCATTGCCCACCATTTTATCCAAAAAACAAAGGAAGTTCAGTTGTCTTTTGAAAAGCACCTTTGGGCAGGGGTCCACAACCCCCCAGGTGGTGGCCCACTATCTAGCTGCATCCTGTTTAAAACCAGGACACAGGAAAAATGGGCAAGCACATACATGTGATGCTCCACTCACACGAGCAGAGGGCGCTTGCGCTCGCACGCAAAGCTCCATTCGTGTGTGAGTACAAGCGCCTTTTGCTCAAGCATCCTCTGCTCATGCAAGTAGAGCTTTGCACGTGAGCGCAAGTGCCTGCCACTCATGAAAGTGGAGCTTCATGTGTGAGCACAAGCACCCTTCACTCGCGCAGGAAACTCCATTCGTGCGAGTGGAGGGCACTCATGTCACTAGCATAAATGGAGCTGTGGGCACCCACACATGCCTGCCACTCACACACCCAGCAAGGCAGGCCACCAAGCTGGAAAGTTTGAGGACTGCTGCCTTTGGGTTACTCTGTCTTCTTTCACAGATGTTTAGAAATGCGATGGGAGATCATTTCTCCAAAACATTTGGTAACACCAGTATTCTTCAATAGCCAAATGCTGATTTACATACCTTTAAAATGAATTATACGTAAGGCTACCTATTACATTTGGAAAACATATTTCTTAGCAAAGCTAGACTTACAGCTTTCCAACTCTAGAGAACAATTCTGAGTGTCAAGTGGGAATCTACTGAAGTCCATGAAACACATAGCAGAAACTGTTATCCTGTCAAAAGCAAATAATAAATAATAACTTCAGTAATCATAAAATGATTCACAATTTATGAAGTGCTTAAATATGAAGTATTTCAGTGATCTCCTATATTTATTTTTCAAGTTTTCTTAAAAGTACTTTTATGCTCTCACATTTTAATCCAGAGAAGGAGAATATATCAAATGTGGATTGGCTCTTGTTTCAAGATAGCAAAAACAAAACTACAAAGGAATTTTCAGGGGAAAAGCTCCAACAATATGGACAAGCTCAGTTCTCTTTCCCACTTTATCCCAATCACTTCAGGATAAATATGATGATATTCTCCAGCACCATGAAATTCCCACCTGAAGGCAGGGATTAGACCAGGGTCCCAACCCTCTGGCTGTGGCCCACTACAGGACAGTGGCCTGTTCGGAACCGAGCTATACGACTGGCAGCCACTTGCACTTGCTCCTTTTGTGTGAGCAGCAGACATGCACCTGCCATTTGTACCAATGGAGCTGCACCACTTGCACGCGCCTGCCTACCACTCACAGCGAACTATCCTCTCACACACCCCCACCAGACCACTAAGCCAGAAAGGTTGGGGACTGTTGAATTAGACAATAGCAGTTAACATCATCATTATCTTTTTGCCATTGGGAGAAACTTCTGTTACCAAACTCGTCTCTCCTATTTCTTACTTTCTTTTTATTTTCCCAAACCAACAAAATATTGGAAAAAAGGTATACAAAGAAACCCAATTGTCAGTCCACCAGCAGCATAATCCTCTGAACAACATGGGGCAAAAGCTGATGTAAAAAGGAATAAATGGCAAAAAAAAAAAAAACCTGATTTCAGAAATGCACTGAATCTGGTTGGGGGTTGCAGACCCAAAAAAAAAAATTCTCCCAGTACACTTTTAGAAAACAGGCACTTAAAATAAAACTTAAAACTGCTCCATTATGAACTTCTTTCCCTCATCCCTCCAAGTCATCTGATCCAGAGTAGAGCCTATGCGGCTCGCCATTGGCTTCACAGTGAATGCATATATCTGAACATAAGACTGCTATTGGTAAAGGGGTTGGGAAGATTCTGCATTCTTTTCCAACCTCCTTTCTTTTCTTTTCTTTTCTTTTCTTTTCTTTTCTTTTCTTTCTGATTTATGACTGGAATTCTTTTCTCCACTTTGAGATTTTTAACTGAGCTTTCTAATACAACCTTATATTGGGTCATTTTTAGATCAATAGCAGGATTGATCTTCATGGTTATCTCCTATGGCAGTGGTGGCGAACCTATAGCATGGGTGGCAGAGGCAGCACTCAGAGCCCTCTCTGTGGGCACATGCACCATCTCCCCAGCTCCGCCTCTTCCCACGGCCCCCTCCTCACCAGCAGCTGTCCCGGAGGAGAGTCACCCCTGGGTGCAGCCCACGCAAAGCAGTGCAGTCAAGGACATGGTAGCCGGGCAGTAGGGAGAAGACTCTGCCCTTGTACCCCATCGTGCGCAGATGATGCTGCGGGGCATGGGTGGAGGGCGTGGCCACCATGGCACTGCTGGACTGCCTGAGTGATCTGTGACGGGCTGTAGAGGTGGTGGGTGGCCCAGTGGGCAGGGCGGAGGAGGGATGGGGTGGGGGGGCAGTTTTGGGACAATTGGTCTCTAAAAGATTCGCCATCACTGTCCTGTGGAACATACAAGATCATCAGCACAGCCAGAGGCCCATCTTTTGCCTGAAACTCACCCCAAGGATTCTTTTGTCAGAGCACAGGAAAATGACAGCGTTATGTTGATATGTTACTGTGTAATCAGCAAAAACAACAGTTGTGTATTCTTTGTGAATTGGCAAAACATACATTACTATATTTTAGTTGTTTTAAACCAGACCAAGGAAGTGTGTTATTATCATCCCCATTTGGCAGTGTGGATAAACTTAAGATTGAGAGAATCTGGCTTGTCTAATACAAACTGACTTTTGATGGCTAGACAGATGCAAATTTAGACAGACATGGAAGAAACATTGCAGTGAAAGTGATCTGTGGGTCTTAAAGTCACACAACACTGATGTAAATTCAGGGAGGGTTGCATTGGCTCTACAAGTTATATCAATAAACCAGCCTTTCTTAAATGGACATATTCCAAACATGTTGTGGAATTATACCATTCCTATGGTTTTTGTAACCTTATTAGCTAAGAATTATGGGGTGGTATATTCCTTACATCTAGAGCAGAGGTCCCCAACCTTTTGGGTACCAGGAACCAGTTCCATGGAGAGAGGTTTTTCTGTGGACTGGAGAGTGCATGGTTTTCTGTGCTGCCTGCATCCCGTGGATGGGGCTTTGCTTGTTTGTGCGGACCAGTTGCTGGCATGCTGTGGCCCGGTACTGGTTCACAAACCGGGAGTTGGGGACTCCTGATCTAGAAGATAGCAACTATGGGAGGACTAAAGTATCCCATTCCCCATGATAATTCTCCTGTGTTGTATGTGTTCTCCTGACTGAAAGGTAAGAGATCTGTGCTTACCGTAAACTGAAGAGCACATTGCCATCTGGATAGATACGTAACATAATATTCTCCATGGTTGTGTCATGGATAAAAGATCTTTTAGAATGAACAAAAAATGTGTCAGGTACCCAAATCTTTTTTATTAATCTTCCATCAAAGGTCATGCTTCTGTTTCTGGTACTAGGAAACGAGAGTCTTTCATCCTTCCAGTAATGCCTGAGATACAAAGTCATTGAGAAATCCTATATAAAAAGAAGAGGAAAAAATACCAAATATGCATTTATCCATTTAATAATATAATTGTTAAAGATGCCATGGCTAACATTGTTCATCGGTAGTGAAACCATTAATAAGAATTAGTAGTTAGGGCTGAGTGGCGGGGATCCGGTCCTACTGCCTTGGCTGTTTGATTGTCGAACCAGCTCGCAGAGAACGGTGAGCTGGGGAGTAGGGGTCGCTCCTGCCCGCTGGAGGGAAAGAAGCTTTTTGAAGGCCTCTAGTGGGGGACTTGACCACTGATCGTCAGCCAGGATGGTGGTTTTCTCAAAAGAATATGGCTATGTGATTTTAACTGGTGCTGCCAGCTTTGTCTTGATAACACACCTTGCAGTAAATGTGGGGAAAGCACGCAAGAAATATCATGTTGAGTATCCAACCATGTACAGTACAGACCCTGAAAATGGGCATATCTTTAACTGTATCCAGAGGGCACATCAGAACACCTTGGAAACATATCCCTCCTTCCTGTTCTTTCTTGGAATCAGTGGGATCTATTACCCGCGTGTTGCTACAGGACTTGGTATAGCATGGATAATTGGAAGAATACTGTATGCTTATGGCTATTATACAGGAGATCCTAATAAGAGAAATTGTGGAGCCCTTGGTTCCATTGCACATCTTTGTTTGGCAGGGATCACTGTTTACTCAGCTTTCCAGCATCCATTCTGGTGACATTCTGAGATGTCTTTAAATGTATCTCACATGTAATTTTTATCATTACTTTAAAAAAAATAAAAACAAGTGAATCAAAAAAACACTAATCAAAAAAAAGAATTAGTAGTTAAACTATTAGCATTAAAAGTCAAAAATTTACTTTGGACTATGAAGAAGCATGATTCCAAGAAAAGGTGTAACTGCTTTAAGGAGCTGCAGAGAGATGCTTTGTGCACATCTCAATATACCTTGTAACATCTTCAAGGTCCCTTTCAACTTTATTATTATTATTAGTTTATTCACAAAATATTTCAGCATGATGGAATATTGTTTCATGCGGCATAACCAATATTTCAGCAGTACAGGTTGCATATGTTAAATAGTAAGCTTATTATTCAATGTTTCAATAGATTTAAAATTACAATGCACTTAGGAAAAAATGGTTTCTATGTATTGAACACTTATAAATCTTTTTACAAACAAATTGGAAGGTTGAACTAACTTTTGGGGTGGGTGCTCAGAATGTTAATATATCAACTTTATAATAGCTATTTTTGGACTCAAAAATTCATCTTAGTTTGGCTATTAATATTCACAGTTTTTTGTAGACCTTTATGTTCAGGGACAGCTACAGGGATAAAACAAACTCTATAATTTGTGTAATTGCATCAGATATCATGATACGAGTACATAAGGGTAAGATTTATATCATGATATCACAATGCAAACTTCATAATTTTGATATAATCTTCATATCATGTACTTCCCTGTGCTGGCATATTCTGAAAATACATACCAAGAATTGGAGATTAATAGGAGGATACAAGTGGTCCTCGAATTCCAGCCTCAATAGAGCCCAAAATTTCCAAGAGAGTTAAGTGAGTTGTGCCCCATCTTATGACTTTTTTTGCCACAGTTATTAACTGCTTACTAGAAGCTGTTTTGGAAGGTTACAAATCATGATCACATGACCCAGGGACAGTGCAACTGTCATAATTACATGCCAGTTGCCAAGTCCCCAAATTCTGATCACATCACTGGGGATGCTGCAATAGTCGCAAGTGTGAAAACTGGTCATAGGTCACCTTTTTCAATGCAATTGTAACTTTAAACAGTTACTAAAAAATTGGTTGTAAGTCAAGGACCACCTGTATTGGAAATGGGTATTACAAGTTTAATGGCTACAAAAAATAATAAGATGAGATGAGATGAGATAACCTTTACTGTCATTTTTTTACTGTAGGCACAACGGCACACATCAAAAATGAAATTTAGTTGCCCACTTTCAAAGAGAAGCACATACATGACACACACCTAAAACATACTATATACAACATATGCATAGACCCACACCCCTATGTATATATAACAAATAAATATTAAATACTGTCCATCTTGAATATATAATGGAAGGAGGAGGCTTGAGAGTTCACAAGGTTAATGCTGTATGGAATGAAACTATGGCTGAATCTGGATGTTCTGCTGCAGATACCACGAAGCCTCCTCCCAGAAGGTAACAAGGAAAACAGGTCGTGAAGAGATGTGTAATGTCCCAGATAATCCTACGGACCCTGCTCAAGCAACACTTCTGTGCTGTGTCCTGGATGGGAAGGAAGGGACTGCCAGTGATCATTTCGACCATTCTCATCACTCTCTGCACTGCCTTCCTGTCTGAAGCAGTGATGCTTCCAAACCAGACTGTGATGCTGTATGACAGGATGCTCTCGATCGTCCCCCTGTAGAAAGTGGTCAGGACAGGGGAAGGAAGATGTGCTTTTCTCATGCGACACAGAAAATGCAGGCGCTGCTGTGCCCGCTTCACCAGTTTCTCACTGTTGAGCAACCAAGTCAGCCTACTCGTTAGCTGCACACCCAGGAATTGGTAACCATCTTCACAGGTGAATCATTGATGCACAGAGGTGTGTGGCTGTGCCTGCCTTTTCTGAAATCAACAATGATCTCTTTGGTTTTTCTGGTATTTAAAACTAAGCTGTTTTCCTTACACCAGTTCACCAACCCCTCAACCTCCTTGCGGTAAGCTTCCACCTTGTCATCCTGAATAAGGCCTACTACTGTTGCATCATCTGCGAACTTCACAATATGGTTGGTGGCAAACCTAGCACAACAGTCATAGGTCAACAGAGTGAACAGCAGCGGACTTAACCCTGTGGAGAACCTGTGCTCAAGGAAATGGTATTAGAAGTATTTGTTCCAACTTGCACATATTGGGGCATGTTGGTAAGAAAATCAAGAATCCAGTTGCACAAAGGAGTGTTTAAGCCTAAGAGGCTCAGTTTGTCTACTAGATGCTGGGGAATGATTGTGTTAAACACCGAAGTGAAGTCGACAAACAACAAACGCACGTGAGCATTTATTTCCTCTAAGTGCTTCAAGCTCAGATGGAGAACGAAAGAAATAGATCCTCCGTAGAGCGATTTGGTCAGGCAAACTGAAGTGGATCAAATGTTGGCAGGAGGCTAGATACAATAATGTCCTTTATCAGCTTCTCAAAGCATTTCATGATGGTGGATGTCAGTGCAACTGGACGGTAATCATTGAGGCTTGTAATTGTGGACTTTTTTGGCACTGGCAAGATGATGGCCATCTTAAAACACGATGGGACCACTGCCTGCTGCAATGTGAGATTGAAAATATCTGTGAGAACACAAGCCAGCTCCTCTGCACATACCCTGAGGACAGCCAGGGATGTTATCTGGGCCTGCTGCTTTCCGAATGTTAACTTTCTGCAGTGTTTTCCAGACAGAGGTGACATCAAAGCTTAGCACTTGCTCTTCAGGATGGGGCACAGCTTTCCTAGCAGGAGCACTATTTGATGCCTCAAATCTACCAAAAATGCATTTAGTTTGTTTAGGAAGTCTGTGTTGTCCTTGCATCTCGATGGAGTCACCTGATGGCCTGGATCCCTTGCCACATTTGTCTGGTGTTTGTTGGGTCCTGAAAAAAGTTCTGAATTTTCTGGCAATAGGCTTGCTTTGCACCTTTTATGGCACTTTTCAGATTTGCTCTGGCTGTTCTAAGTGCCAGCATGTCACCACATTTAAAAACCATATTCCATGCTTTCAGCATCTTGTGGACCTCATATGTCAGCCATGGTTTTTCATTCTCTCTCACAACAATGCTTTTCAGGACACAGACATCTTCTACGTACTTTTGGATATATGCAGACACCGTGGTGGCATACTCCTCAACAATTGTATATTGGTTATCAGTAGTTGCTTCCTTAAACATGCCCCAATCTGTGCACTCAAAGCAGCTTTGTAATGCTTCTATAGCTCCCTCTGTCCACACTCTCACCTGCATTACTGTAGGTTTCACTCTGACTAATAAAGGTTTACATGCTGGAATAAGCAGCACTGAGAGATGGTCAGAGGAGCCCAGGTAGGGGCGGGGAATAGCTTTGAAAGCCTATTATATTATAAAGCTGAAAGGACATTCTCTGCCCTTTACACAATGATGTGAATAAGTCATCTCTCTTTTCATTTGATAGGACTATTTAAAAATCCTGTCTACCTATTCTTAATTTATATGCTTATTTTCCTTTTTGCATTATTCTTGTGAAAATAATTGCAGACTATTATAGGAATAAATAGGTCTTTATTAGCTTATGATATAAAAGATGTTTGCTTTTATAAGATCTTTCTCATTTTCTCGGATAGAGGTACGTTTTGATAGTGAACAGATAGAATAATTAGTTGTATAAAACACAGTCACTTGTTCAGTGAATAATACACAATTATTTGAAGATTCCCCACTGCCCAATTTTTCTCTCTCTTATTCCTTATCATCAAATTGCTGATTATTTCACCTGCATTTCTGAATTAGATTTTCAGCAACTGAAAGAAAACTTACCATGTCAACTTCTGAAATTCTGTCAATGCTTTCTACATGCACATCAATGCCCACTGGGATTGGTGATCCTTTAACATACAAAGAACAAACAGCAGTAAGAATATTTTAAGTCTTTTGCTTCATCAGAGTTTAACCACAGCTTAAATATGGACTTCACTATTGCTTTGAAGTTTTTTTAGAAGCAACTGTATGAATAGTTTTTTCCAAACAAAGAGTGCCTTCTGATCATATACAGCAGCTGGCAGCAACCTAAGATCCATGGGAACTATCAGTGGTACTGGATATAACTTGTATACACATTTGGTCACCTGTTTTTGCTTACTCCTTCAAAAGGGTTGGTGATTGCAGGACACCCACTATTTTGTATTTCTTTAAATATCCTCATGTAAAGCCATGATTTCCTGGGAGTTTAAAATGATGGATGCTTTGTCTCAAAATATAGTAGACCTATAGGGCCAAGTGGGCTAGCATGCACTGGAGAAGCCAACAGTGGTATAGGTAGTCCTCAATTTACAACCATTCATTTAGTGACCATTTGAAGTTATCACAACACTGAGAAAAGTGATGTATGCCCATTTTCCAACTTGCAGCCATTGCAGCATCCCCATAGTTACAGGATCAAAATTTGGACACTTAGCTACTGGTTCATATTTATGACAGTTGCAGTGTCCCAGGGTCCTGTGATCACCTTTTGTCACCTTTTGACAAGCAAAGTCAATGGGGAAACCAGATTCACTTAACAACCATGTTACTAACTTAGTAACTGCAGGGATTCACTTAACAATTGTGGCAAAAAAGATTGTAAAACTAAAATTAAAACTCGCTTAACTACTGTCCTGCTTACCAAAGGAAATTTTGTCCTCAATTGTGGTCATAAGTTGAGGACTACCTTTATTTCCTCTCCATTTTACCTAGAGTTCACCATACTACCATTAACAAAGAAAAGGGCTATGGCATTGACTCTGTAATTTAGGTCAGTTTTTAGACTGGCTAATTGAGAAAAGAGGATGCTGTATTAGAAAACATGTGGCCTTTCTCAAAATGCATTCTTAATGCTTCTGGGATGCAAAAATAATTCCATGGAAATTCTGTAGTACTTACACAGGAATGTGCCATACATTTTGGGATAGGCATTGTAGCACTGTATTGTAAGCCTGTAAAAGTACAACGTGTTTTATAAATGACCTTAAGAATTCATGGTTGAGGTCAAATATATACTGCAGTTAGTGTGTGTCTTTTTCATTCAGCTTGTAAAACTGGGAAAATATTAAGAAGTAGTTTAAGGCTTCTCATTCCCTTACATAAAAAAATTCTTACATCAGATCTTTCTAATCATCAGAATAAATTCTCTCTGTTCTTGTATCTAACTGGATGAAAGCTAATGCATAAAAATAATTTTGTTAAAAAATGGATTCTGTTTACAGTTCCCATTAAAATACTGTATAAAATATTTATAAATAATATTTGAAGCTTCCAAATCAACAGGGAGCTTTCCTCCTGCTTTTTGTATTTAAAGCCTCTTAATAAAACCGAGTACTATATGTGTTACATAACTTTTCTATAGGTCACATGCAGATTGTAATTTTTCTTTAATCACAACCATTTTGGGACTATGGAGTTGGAAGACAATTATTGATTAACACAATATTATTTCAGTAACTGAGATATGCTATCATATAAATATGCATGAACCTAGTGTTGATGCAACCTTCATTCTGTTGATTTTAAAGTAAATCACATAATTACTGTATTACATTTATACAAATGTAAAATAGCTTTTCTTATTAGCTCAGCTAACATCATATAAATGACTGGAATGTTTTAAGTCTAGGATATAGATTTCTCCCTTCTCGGTGCATTAGATGACTTAATTTCTTCTAGATGTTGTGATGAATGTTGCAAACTACTGTACACAATGAGAGCTCAATCAAAGCGCTTGGAAGACTTAAAATTAAGCACCTATCTTGTCACCATCCACTTCCTGGAAAATCCATCACAAATGAAGCAGGTGACCTACTTGAAGTTTGACAAACCCCTCATGGTACTTTGGTGGATTTACCTAATGGTAGAAGGCAAGAGGACATTGACACTAGCCCTGATATCACAAAGTGTCCTTCAAATAGCGTTTTTATTCAGTTGCAATCATTCTGTATGGAAGTAGTACATAGAATAGAGAGAAGATTCCAGAATAATCATTTTCCAACTAAATCACTAGAGATTCACTTGGACATATTCAAAGATAGCAAATCATTACTAAAAGCATTTAAAAAAATTAAAAATATGTCAGCTCACTATGGCTGAGATGTACAACCAGTTATAAATCTACTAAAGAAAACAAACAGACCACCAGTGTAATTTTAACTGTAAATTACCTCAATTTGTACAAATCAGGCTTGTCTATAATGTTAACATAGGGATTACCAACCTTTTATAACTATAATTTTAAGAGCGTGTTAAAAATTATGTGATAACTGCACATAATGGCTGCAGTGGTGAATGTGGCCAGTCACAAAGCAGCTATTTACAGGAAAGCAAACTGGGAACATTGTTTCTCTATATAAAAAACAATGTGTTTTAATATTTTATCTGTACAACACCCAGATTGCCTCTGTAAGGGAGATGGACAGTTTCAAAATTTGATAAATAAATAAACCCAAATTTAATTTTATATCAAAGCATATGGACACATTTCCAAAATGTTGCAACTTTCTGTAATTTTTATTTTCTAAGAGTGTATTCTCGGTACATGCAGGATCCAGAATCAGTGTTGGAAATAAAAATTATGCTTGACACTGGCAATTTGTTTTGTAAACTGCTGATTTCCAATTTAATTGAAAATAATAACTGAATAAATAGGGAAGAAGAGAAGAGAACTATTTTTACCTCCAAAGCCAGGTCTCATGGCAAAATCATGGTTCTCTATATGGAGAAGTTGTTCTGATTTCATGGGTGGTACTTTAGTATTATCTAGTTTCCTCACCTTAAATTCTTGTTTGCTGGATTATAAATAAATAAACAAATAAATATACATACATATACTGTTCATATACATCCACCAGAAATTATTAAATCATTCTAATTTCTTATATAAATAATAAGCCAACATTTACTGTCAGATAGCCAGAAGATTCTAACTATCCAAGCAAAATATGGAGGTATAATCCAACCCTGGTTTTGGTCCTAGCTATATATTAATGCTTGAACAAGCCCAACTCTGAGGGGGTCCAGCAGATGCTGTTTCCTTTTCCTTGATTACATGTACAGATACAATAAAATAATGTACATAAATACAGGAATTCAGAAATGCAAGATTTCATGGCAATTACATTCTTGATAGCTTTGCTACTACTTGGGCAGAAATGATTTTAAACATTCATTGTTATAGAGTTAGAGAGCCCTTGTCTAAATCAATCAGAACACTTTTTTCTAGTATATGTGGTAGGATTTATTTTTATCCTTTGCCTCTGTCAGTAGGTGCAGTATGGATTGCCATCCCATTACAAAATGAATGCAAAGCCCCAAAGTATATTTGAATTACAGTTAGGAATAAAATTATTGTATCCATTGGTCCCTGAGTCACAGAAAATGGTTCTTAAATGTCTCAGGAAAGGATTTTATTGCTTTCTGAGCAACTGTTTCCACAGCTCAAAAAAGATTCATCCCTTCCAGAATAATAGGAATACTCCTGCCTCTCTTAGCAGAAATATATAAAATCTATGAAATAAATATCTAAATCTGTTCTATTCTTTTTTACAAGCAATGTGAGAATAGCGAATTTAAAAGGATGAAGTATTAATCCGTTCTATTTCAATATTCATTTTGAAACATAGCTTCTTTCATATGCCATAGATCAAGAATCTCCTTAAGGGAGAAATTTTTCTACCTAGTCCATTGTCACACCTGTTACCCCCAGAGTGCAAGAACAAATGACACTATCCTTCTGCCACTCCTAACCCTTTGCAAATGCACTCCATGCCTATGTTTTCTAGCTTCAGCTTGATTTTTTTCCCCAATCTGAGCAATCTTAAGCTTTTCTAAATGGATGATCTCCAGCACTTCATTCAAATGTAACAACCCCAACTCTAATTGGCTGCAGTACCAGACAGGCCCTACTCCCCTTCAACAACTGTATCCTGTGCATCCATTTCATTCTTGACTGCTAGGCTGTGCTCCTCACACATGTTATAAACTTGCAGTTGATCCAGTCTTGCAACATTAAATCAATAAACTATACTCTTCCCCAGAAACTTACAGGTAGTCCTCAATTTACGAAGGCAATTGATATCTTTGCTAAACAATGCAGTCATAAAGTGTGATTGCATCATTTGGTGATGGTAATCCCTGCAGTATCAGTTGCCATAATCAACCAAAACCAATGATCATTAGGTGAGGCAACTTTCTACAGCTTCCCACAACTACTTGGGAAGCTAGCAGGAACTTGTAAGTCCCAGGCAACTCACAAGCAGGCAAATAGGAAGGTAAATGGTTGCTGCTGAGTGGATGATCAAGGGGGTATGTGAGAGCATGAAAGAGACAGGGCAAGGATTTGGGAGGGTGTGCGAGAGTACTTGAGGCATGTGAGGGTGCAAGAGAAGTGTGGCAAGACTGCAGGAAGATGCACAAATAGCAATAAGACTTATATACCACCCCATAATGCTTTACAACACTCTCTGAACAATTTAAAATGTCAGCCTATTGCCCCCAACAATCTGGATGTCATGGTTCCGATAGATGAGACCAGTAAAAGCAGAACTGCAAGGCTAAGAGGTTTCCTTAAATAACATGTTTATTGGCTACAAAGTATCAGCACAGTCAAAAGTGAAACCAAGTCTGGAGTTCCCTCCAAAGTGTTACAATGTTACAAAGTTGAATTTCCCACTCCAGCACTATGTAATCAACTACGTTCCCCAATAGAATACTTTGGCAGGCTTTCTAACAGAAGGCTCAGCCCACCAAATTCCTAGGCAATGGCCTTGGTTCTCCTGGGACAACGTATTGTTTAGGCTAACATTAAAATCACCCATGCCATGCCCAGTCCTGTGGCAACCAAAAACGAAACAAAATGGTTTTGGCCAGGATCATTTCAGTATTGATACTGGGTTCTCATTTTACCAACCTGAGAAGGCTGGAAGGCTGAGTCAATCTGGAGCTCCGTCAGGATTGAACTCCAGGCTATGCACAGAGTTTGCCTGTAATGCTGCATTCTAACCACTGCACCACCAGGGCTTCTAAGGTGGATAAAGGGTATGAGGGAGGCATGATGAGGCTCGGAGAGAGTATGCAGGGGCACACAAGTAGTTGGCAGGGAGCTGAGGGAAGACGCATGGGTAGAGGAAATTTACAGTGCATTCAAAAAGTATTCAGACTCCCTTCACTTTCGACAATGTTGTTATGCTGCAGCTGAAAAAAATCTTGCAGTACTCTGGACAGGCATTAGGAAAGGAAGCATTGTTTAACAGATGGGGCAGAAAGTGAAGGGGGGGCTAAAGAGTTGTAAGGATTAAATGGAATATACTTGACAAAGGGGAAGTAGTCCTCGTCTTCTGAGTATTCATTTAGTCACCATTCAAAGTTATGATGGCACTGAACAAGTAGTGGTTATGATTGGTCTTTAGAGTTGTGCTCATCCCTCACACTTATAATTGGTTGCAGTGCTCCATGATCACCTGATTGCCAAAAAGTCAATAGGGAAGCTGGCAGGGAAGTTGCAAGTTGCTGAGATACAGTGCATTCAGAAAGTATTCAGAGTCCCTTCACTTTTGTCAATTTTGTTATGCTGCAGCCTGATTCTACAGTTGTTGAGATTCATTTTTTTCTCATTAATCTACACTCAGTACCTTATAAGGACAAAATGAAAATGGAATTTTAGAAATGTCTGTCAATTTATTAAAAAGAAAAAAATTAAATACCACATTGGCATAAGTATTCAGACCCTTCACCCAGTACTTTGTTGAAGCATCTTTGGCAGCAATTACAGCCTCGAGTCTTTTTGAGTATGACACGACAAGCTTTGCACACCTGGATTGGGTGATTTTCTGCCATTCTTCCTTGCAAATCCTCTCAAGCTCAGTCAGGTTGGATGATAACCATCGGTGGACAGACATTTTCAGGTCCCTCTAGAGATGAGGATAAAGGTTTGTTCTCTGATCTTGTGGTTTGGTTTCCGAATGTTTCATTACCAGGTTAGGTAGCATCTTCAGTGGAGTTTAGGGGATGTTAGTGTCAGTGTACTTCTATTTATAAGGGCTTCAGGTGTGGGTGTTTCAAATGAGGGTCTTGTGATGGAACTTGTAATGGGAGGTATGAGTCATCAGTGAGTCTTGTGATGACTCAGTAGGGATCAAATAAAGCTTTGGCTGGGCCACTCTAGGACATTCACAGATTTGTCTCTAAGACACTTCTGTGTTTGTCTTGACTGTGTGCTTAGGATCGTGGTCATGTTGGAAAGTGAACCTTCGGCTCAATCTGAGGTCCTGAGCACTATGGAATAAGTTTTCATTGAGGATATCCCTGTACTTTGCTCCATTCAGCTTTCCCTCAACCCTGACCAGTCTTCCAGTCCTTGCTGCTGAAAAACACCCCCACAGCATGATGCTATCACCACAAGATTTACTGTTGGAATGATGTTGGGCATGTGATGATCGGTGCCTGGTTTCCTCCAGATATAACATTTAGAATTGAGGCCAAACAGTTCAATCTTGGTTTCAGCAGACCAGAGAATCTTGTTCCTCAAAGTTTGAGAGTCCTTCAGATGCTTTTTTGCAAACTCCAAGTGGGATTTCATGTGTTTTGCACTGAGGAGAGGTTTCCATCTAACCCAGGGGCAGGCAACCTTGGCTCTTTTATGACAGCATGGCCGGCTCAGGAATTCTGGGAGTTAAAGTCCACGAGTCATAAAAGAGCCAAGGTTGCCTACCCTTGGTCTAGCCACTCTGCCATAAAGCCAAGATCAGTGGAGGGCTACACTGATGGTTGTCCTTCTGGAACTCTGTCTCATTTCTACACAGGATCTGTGGAGCTCAGTCAGAGTGACCATCAGGTTAACAAAATTGACAAAAGTGGTCTGAAAACTTTCTGAATGCACTGTATCTCAGCAACTTGCAACTTCCCTACCAGCTTCCCTACTGACTTTTTGGCAATCAGGTGATCATGGAGCACTGCAACCAGTTGTAAGTGTGAGGGATGAGCACAACTCTGAGGACCAATCATAATCACTATTTGTTCAGTGCCATCATAACTTTGAATGGTGGCTAAATAAATAGTCAGAAGACGAGGACTACCTCCCCTTTGTCAAGTACATTCCATTTAATCCTTACAATTCTTTAGGCACTCCTTTCACTTTCTGCCCCATCTGCTAAACAATGCTTCTTTTCGTTTCCTAATGCCTGTCCGGAGTATTGCAAGATTTTTTTCCTTTTTCTTTTCCCTTTCATTTTTAATTTGTAATATAAAAACATTGCTACTTTGTTTTTCTGAAGGTGAATTATCATTTCTTACTACAAATTTTCCTTTGGCTTACAGAGGACTGTAGTGGAATTTCTGAAGTTAGCTTAAGAAACAGCTGGAAGCTGCATGGGAAACAAACAGCTTAGGCTTGTGACAATTGTTAGTGAGGATTGCCTTACTGTAGACTCTGGAATTTTGGAAGTTAAAATCCACACATTTTAAGATTGTGAAGGTTGAGAAACACTGCCTTAGAGGAAGAAGGAAGCAGAGCAGATGTCATCAACAACCACCACTGGGACAGCTGAATAAACAGATTCAGACAGAGTAACTGCACATTTACCATACAGTACACATATTTTATGCCAGTCTTCTTCATTTTTGTCATCTATTTGTCATTTTTGGTATAATTTTCTCATGTTCTCAATGTCACTATATTTTTTAATGTTATTCATATCTCTTTGAATCACTGCAGTTATTTAAAACAGTGAAACCATGTTTTGAAATCAAGGTTCCAAATTATGATTGCATATATGGAGTTGGTGGAAAAACTTTTACTAGAGCAAGGCAAAATGTCCAATAATCTTATATTAAAATTTTAAAAAAGATTGTAGAAAGTCAGATCTTTCTAAAGATCTCTCTGATCCTTTGTTTAAAAAATTCCCGTTAAGAACATTCAGATCATCTAAACTGATATGGCTGTTTTCAGTTTATGGAATGGAGAATATACAACAAAAAGTAGTTAATAGTTTGTGAATTAGGTTGCATCACAGAAACTGGATTCTGCTCTTTTTAATGGAGGCTAAATCCATGGAACAAGATAGTTTGTATTTAGATAAAATGAGACTACATTTATGTACATATGTTTGCTTTCAATATCCTAAAAAATCATTTTTCCATAGCATCACCTTTGAGCTGAGTTTGGATCCTTGTTAATTCATAGAACTATCCATGTGGGGAAGGGTGTGGCAAGAGTGCAACATTGACTTACTATAACCCTCTTGTAGGGTGTGTTGGTGCATATTTCTTACTGTAGAGTACAGCACTAACAATTTTCTATCTTAAATATGTTCCAGGTCCAATCCCATTGCATTTCCAAGGCCAAATAAGGTCAGTCATATTGTCACCACTTCATGAGACTCTGCTTATAGACTAGCTGGATAAATAGTAATTTCAACATAAAAATAACAGTGGCAGCATTAGCTCTCTGTGTCTTTTCTCTGATTTACCCATATGCCACTAAGTGACCAACCCATTGGCCAGACTTCCATTTTCATAACTAATATGGAGTCCTGGGTAGATTCTGGGAATCAAGGTGTCCACAGGTGTGGTAGGCAAAATGAAGATGGCAGTCAGGATGTTCTGGGTTCTGCAATCTTATGGCTGTAACACATGCTTCAATTACACTATCATGCTGCTATCTTGCCTTTTTTATGGCCACACTGCAAATACCTTTGCTTGAAATTTTAGTTATAATGTCCTGTTCCAGAAATTACTTCTGCAGCCAGATTCCAAAACCTGGAACAGGACATTATAAATCTTATTCCAGTGTTTGATAAGAAATAAATCTGCTAATTTAAATGAAACCTAATCTCAAATCAGTGAATAGTTCATTTTTTCCCCCTTACTATAGAATTGCAAATAAAATGTAGTGACAAAATGCTAACTATGACTTCTACATTTTTGTCAAAATAAGAAAATATATAAAAGGTCATATTTTTACTTTAAAAACATACCAAAATGAGGGAACAGACTCCCTAAATAATCCAGTCCTGTCCCTTGTGAAATCAGTGCATCTGTGTTGTATTCCTTTTGGCACTTGACCAGTGAAAAAACAAGATTTAGAAATTTCTATTACAAGAAAATGCTCCCTTTCAAACATCTTTCCACCACCCCTTTAGCAGTGGTAATGGAAAATAAATCTTGTTGGTTAGGGTGCTCAGGTTTGTCATCTGAACAGAACCAGTTGAGAAAGATTCTATATAGAACTAAAGTTGGTTTGAAATATCCTTTCTAACAAGGACTAGCCGTTTACCATTCCTCACTGTGATATAAAGGTAAGAAAGTGAGCAAATGCTCCTCAATTTCAACTGCTCTGAGCTAATCTAGTTTCAGTGAAAGTGAATGCTTGTATTTTCAAATAATAATTGTACAGTACTTCAGGAAATCAAATCTCCCTTTGCAACATAATAAGCAATCATTTGCATCTCAGACAACTACTTGGACTGCTTTTAAACTTATTGGTTGAGATCACACATCATATTTAAACTTCATATGTGCATGAAATTGTGGTAGTTTGTAAACCATAGCTTATGGTTTAACATGAAGAAACCCAAACATGCATTTATTAGCAAACTATCATTAAAATAGAAACAAAACTTGACTTAGTGCAATAGAAAATTGGAAACAACTTTCAGATTCATTTCAGATCAATCTCAGCAGTTGTGACAAGTTCTGATTCAGACAAATGTAATGAACACAGCTGTTACAATAGTCACTTTGTTCTTAAGTGATCCAGATAACTACAGGTATACCAAAGCATGTAAGACATGTGCCTTTATCTTTTTTGCTAAAGTGCTAAGGGTAACAATATCTCATCTCTATTCTCCAGTCTCTCACACTGAGCACATCAGAAGCTATGTAAGAAGTAGCCTTATACAACATTAAACTATGGGTCCACCCAGTCACAATTTCTGTTTGCCTTTGCATTCAAACAAGAGTCTTTCAATTCCACACTGGGCTTTTGAAGTGCAAAGCTTCATAGTAATTTGCCTGATTTCTGTTCTCCCATCTGTAACTTTTGATGGATGAGCTGGAGAATTGGAGACAAGGGTAATCTGTATATAGAACCCTAAATCTCACACTAACCTTGTTCTCTGAGTCGTGGCTCAAAGTAGCAATGCTTGAGATTTTAATAACCCTCTCCCTACCATATTTTGGTAGGGCCAATAATGTAAAACTTCCAATTGATAAAATGAGTCTTAAAATACAGCATTAAACTCCTTTAACTTCATGAACTCAAATAGAAATTGAATAGCTAGCTAAAAAAGCTTCTCTTTATATATGGTAATTAAATAATTCCACCAAATTAAAGCCAATGTTTCTGTATAATACAAACCTTCAATTATATGAGTTTAAAAGAACATCAGTTATGATGACTGCTGGCCATCTTGCTCACCTGTTATGTCTTTTCATGAATGGCTTTTGAGGATGATTATTGCTGTTATTGGATAAAACAGAAGTAGGCCAAATACAGGTGAAGAGCAGCAGTTTTAATGCAGGGACCATGTCTTCCAATCCACAAAAATCAAATCAATTTCTATCAGTCATCTTTCATTCCAGCAGTCCAGTTATTAAGAAATAATCTCATGCGATGGGGGTGTAGATAATATGAGGCATCACAAGTGGGTGTAGATAATATGAGGCATCACAAATTCAAAGAAAAAAAAACATTCCACTTTTCATTATCTGAAGTTTCTTCTTATTTCTGCAGTTTTATAAGTCCTCAGCATTCACATCCTGTGGTTTATCTCTCCTACTGTTGCAATTTTACTTTTAGAAATATATTAAATAATATTGTGCATATTGTTTACTCTCTTTTTCATCCATTATTTCTCTCCCTGTGGGAGCATTTCTAGCCTAAAGCCTTAATGCTCACTCAGTATACTGTTTGATAAAGCATTGACACAGACAAAAGAATGATGTCATATTTAATCTCCTTACTCCTCCATATTACTGGGGTTTTTTTAATAAGAAAAACTTTCATTTCCCCATGAAAATCTGTGTTTAATAAGCAAAGGTCAGGCAAATAAACTTACTACATATGCAGAAAATATTTCAGAGCATTGGGCTTATTTATATATTAGGTGTATGAAAACTAAACATAAAGAAACAATTTTGTAGATATTTAATGAAAACCTACTATCCCAGTATCTTGTTTATTGAAAAAAATGGAAGCAAGTTAAAGCATAATATACCCATGGTATTAGTTGATCAGAGCATTTAGATTCTTATTTATTTATTTATTTATTTATTTTATGAGACTTACATACCGCTTTAAGTGCAAGCATTCTCTAAGCGGTGTACACCAGTAAGCAATGTATATATATATATATTTACATTGCCCCCAACAATCTGGGTCCTCATTTTACCTACCCCAGAAGGATAGAAGGCTGAGTCAACCTTGAGCCGGTGAGATTTGAACCGCTGACCTGCTGAACACAGTCAGCTAAAGTGGCCTGAACTACTGCACTCTAACTGCTGCACCACCTCGGCTCATAAAGTACTATCCACTTGAAAATATATTGAAACAAGTTTCAATATGTGTATTTCCGAATAAGTTTGGCCTTTTCCACATTTGTACTTAAGTATGGCACAATCAGATTCTAATAACATTTTTTTTTGCTCTAACCCTAGTAAGTTGCCTTCATCTTTTCCCCAATCCGTAATGGAGACAAGCTTAAGTTGTTCTTTGCTGTACTGGTGCTAAAATAAAATGGCTTCCAGATTGTTTGGATTTTAGCCCTCATAAGTGTCAAGCATTGTATTTCCAAAATTGGTTCACAATTCAGCAATTTCTGCCCATCTAGCCAGAAGAGAGCCTGTGCAGTACTCTGATGGTCCAATAAATTCAGCCTTTTTTCATTGTTTTCTGGTTGGGCAAGCTAAGAGAAAATGTGGGATAATAGTTGCAATGCCTGTCTTCTAGAACAGGGGTCCCCAATTTCAGTATGGCAGGCCTGTTGGGTAGTGGGCCATGGAAGCAGCTGGCAAGCACATAAAGCTTCATTTGTGCATGCACGGGATCTAGGTCGCACACATTAAACCATCCCTTTCCCCCCACCCCTGCTGCTGGTCCATGGAACCAGAAAGGATAGTGACTGCTATTCTAGATGATTACATTTTTCTGATGATACAACATCAATAGCAAAAAAAGCCCCTACGTTCTCATCAATATATGTGTGTCCACAATTGTCTCTCATTTGGGGAAATCCCTCTAAGCGCTTAATTGTGATAAAACTTTGTTTACCATCAGGTTGCTAGAATAGGGGCAGAATGTGTCAAAAATAGGTCAATATTAACTGAAGCTAAATAGATAACTGTCTCGATCCTGGACTGCAATGATCAAACCAGACTGTAATTATATTGAATTCTGCATTGTGATTTAACTTTCTTACGATTTTAATTTAGCCCATCAGAATCATAAGTTTCATTGTCGTGTGTGTGTGTGTGTGTGTGTGTGTGTGTGTGTGTGTGTGTGAAGATTACAAGTATTTATTTCAAACACTGAAAGTTAAGATGTTCATTTGTACGGAAAGGTGCTAGATATTTTTTGGAGTGATTCTAACCATCAAAATAGCTGTATGCCAAATTAAATTGAAGAGGTTACTGCCTCTTGGTAGTAGATGTTACTGCCAGATTGCTGCAGCATTATAATTTGAAATTGCTTATTAGATCTCACCAATGCAAATAGGATGGTTATAAGAACAGAAGAACCAGAATGATTTCAGTACAAAATTTGGTGGGAAGAAACAATAGACTAAAATAGTAATTCCCAAACTTTTCCTTTATGGATCCATGCACTATCATCATCTATGGCTTTTAATAAATATAGCATAGAACATGACAACAGGCCCTACACCCCTGAAGTTGATATTAGTTGATGCTCCAAAATTAAATTTAAAAAAAAAACAATAATGAACTGTGAACTGTCACAAGAATATGATACTCCCATCTGTAATCTTGCAAAAATTTGGCAAAAATACATTTGTCTTTTGTGATTTCCAGCAAGAATATCCTGTTATGAAATCTAATACTCTCATAAGGTTTAGCTATTTACAAAAATATTTTCCCTTTGTCATTACCAAAGGGATTATTTGCAACGCACTGTGGATCACTATGGTTAGGAAGCACTCATCTAAAGACCACCTGGCATCCTTTTATTATTTTGTTTACAATAATACTAGTGAAGCTTAAGTTTGCTAACACAGACTTTCATTGTAAGCCTATGTGATTGTGTCTACACAAAGAATGTCCTTGTAATTACTCCTCCAGCAGCCCTCTATGCTATACTTTGACAGGACATGTATTAAAATTGGAACAGAAAGAAGATTAGCATGCCAATGCACACAGATGGCATGCAAATTTATGAATTGTTCCATATTACTTTCAATGTTAAGTTTATTTTAACTTTTACTTTGGACATATTGTTGTATTTTATAACTGTTGTAAAATGCAAGAGTCATGTTGCAATGTATATGTTCTTGTGTATGTGTGTACACAAACGCACACATACACACATATATAACCAACTGCTTTTACAAGGAATATTAGCATGATTTTATAAATACCTTAATATAAAATTGTTTAATTCCATAAAATTATTTCATTCCATTAATTCCAACACTGAGCAAAACAAATGAAATTCTCATGTTTTCCTTTTAAAAGATTAATCTTTTAAAGATTAACCACAGAAGATCACTTGGGAACAGAAGGAGGAATGAAATTACTCTAATAGTAAGAATGTAATGTATTCTAATAGGTTGGCTGGTTTGCTATGTACAGTCACAGTGAAAAGACAAACACAAATGTAAAACAACCACATCTTTTAATAGAAAGCAATAAACATGCAAATAGCAGGTATAGAAATTTATTTGAACCAATGTTTTTACTATTAGGTAAGTTAGTTTAACATTGATCCAAGCTCCCATATTTGCAAGTTAAGGGAAAATATTGCACTTTGCATTGTCTAGCACTCCTCATACATTGCAAAACATTTTAAAAACATTTTGCTTTTTTAACTTGCACACTCTCACAAGTCATGCACACACATTCAAAAATCAGAATGTTAGATTACCCAAAGCAAAACCTTAAAATTGCACTAAAGCTTTGTAAGGAAAAATATAATTCACGAGTTATACAAATTTCATGACATTTTGTTGTTTCCAGAAAATAGCCAATTATTCTTCATCTTCATTTTCATTTTCTTGGCCAGACCCTTCAGACCTGTCACCTTCCAGCCGGTCTATGAGATATAAAAGCAATATTTTAAAGACAAAAGCATTCTTAGTCTTACAGCATTCTTACATTTTTAAATAGAATATAACATATATTTGTTCTATAAATATTTCTACAAATATTAGAAAGAAAATCTGAGAATAAAAACATGCAAAACTTTCCTAATTTAAAGTAGTGCCTTAATAGAATCTACTACCCAAATATAAAATTCTGTTAAATGTTGTGTCCTCCAGAAGATGTGAATGCTCCAACATTGAAAGTTTTTAAGAGACTGGACAGTCATTTGTCTGAAATGGTATAGGGTTTCCTCCCCAAGCAGGGGGTTGGACTAGATGACCTCCAAGGTCTCTTCCAACTTTATCATCATCATCATTATTATTATTGGCAAAAGGCAACCTGCATGTACAGTGGCCTTTACGCTTACATTTGTAAGTATCCGAGAAGAGGAGGATGTAATAAAAGAAATTAAGAAAGCGTGTCTTACAAGAAATCAGGCCCAAAAAGTATCTGGAGCTATCTTACCTGCTCGTATGTGATTCAAAGATGCCAACATCCTCAACATAAAAGAGGCTGGAACAGTAATTGTGTTTCTAGTTTCTTCCAGCATTAATTCATTTCGAGTTATAACCTACAAAGCAGTAGAATGGTAATTAAACAAGCATTTAATAGAGTAATTGTTTTCTTGGCCAATTATATAAAATAATGTAACTATTATATTAACACACAACAATGATTTTGTCTCAGTAATTGCTCGTATTTAGCAAACAAATCTTGCCAATCTGAATTTTGTATGATATACAACCACTGAAATTAATTTATTGCTAAAGTTTTATGTACACTTTAATGATGTCTCAATTCATGTCACATAAACTTTATAATCCACTCCATATTATCCTAAGATTAACGTATGATCTTTTTAAGGTAATGGAGCTATGAAAATAGTACTTCTTTCTAAGTTATAGATATTAGAGATACAAACAGGTTCATTTGCTCAAATATGGGTAACTTAATTTGAAAAAGAGTGATCACTTTTAACATATTATTGATATTAGAGCAAAAGTACATCTTACCTCATCAGCAAGTTTTCGATTAAAAATCTTGGATTCTTCTAGTGGTGACCAGATTTTTATATCATAATCAATACCTGATGAAGCTAAAACTAAACAATTGTTTAGAAATATATTAGAAAACGTGTGCAAAGCTTTGTAAATATAAATAGCATTTGACAGTACTCTGCTACATCAGTAGTTACAGACAGTCCTTGACTTACAACTATTTCTTTAGAGACTGTTTGAAGTTACAATGGCACTGAAAAAAGTGACTTATGAGTGTTTTTCCGTGGTCATGTGATCAAAATTCAGATGCTTGGCAACTGGCGTGTATTTATGACGGTTGCAATGTCCCAGAGCCCTGCGATCACTTTTGTGACTTCTGCCGAGCAAAATCAATGGGAAAGCCAGATTTGTTTAATAACCATGTTACTAACTTAACAACTGTGACAAGAAAGGTTGTAAAATGGGGCAAAATTCACTTAACAATGGAAATTTTGGGCTCAATTGTCATAAGGCAAGGAAGGACTACCTACATTTGAAAGTTGTTTTTTTTTAAAAAAAATAAGGTGGATGAGAAATCCCTATCCTGCACTATCTTTCAAGTAAGGAAAAGGTATATTATTCAAAAAACAAAGAACGGGAAGATATCTCACATTAACAAATACGCAAATACTTGATACAGAAGCATTTTTTTAAATCTCAGGAATAAAAATATGTCAATAAGAGAGAAAAAGTTTACCAGATAAATGTGAGTCTGAGAACCAGTCAACTGGCTCTCAGACTTAATTACACAATATTGTTTAATTAAAGAATTTCTATTTGATTAATTATTTGCTTTTTTTACCAATTAAATTGTTTCAATAAAATTATTAATTTCTATACAGCCAAAATCTCCCGTTTAAGTTCCCTTACTGTCCTTTAGTCCTTTGTATTCTGACAATAATAGAATTGCAACTACATTTCCAATTTCCTTTATATTATATAAAAAGTAAGAAAATGTTTTAAGAAAAACACTGGAAACAACTCATGGCTGCATGATGAAGGCTAAGTGAGGGCAAAAGTTTAAATCAATATATTCTAAGTGGTTAAACTGACTACTTGCTACCCTTTTAAAAATATTTCTACATTCTACTTTCAAATAAAGCTTTGGGGATAGCATGCTATCATAGAGCACTGTAATATGGTGAGGGTGATAACTAATCAGTTTAACCATTTAGGACAGTGGTTCTCAACCTTTTTAATGCTGCGACTCCCAACCGGTCGTAAGTCGAGGACTACTCAACTGGTCATAAGTCAAGGACTATTCAACTGGTACAGCACTGTTTGCAGAATGGGACTTTTGGCAGGCTCAGCAGGGCAGAGACAGCCTGGACAATTCCTATTGGCTTTTGAAAGCCAATAGAATTAGACTCTATTCAAGACAGTCTAATTCTATTGGCTTTCAAAAGCCAATAGAATAAAAGGGAGTAGCACAGCTAAGGAAAAGGGGAAAAAAATGGCGGACTGCGTTGCTTGGCGACCCCCGTGAAATGGTTGTTCGACCCCAAATGGGGTCCCGACCCACAGGTTGAGAACCACTGATTTAGGATATTCTGAATACCAGAGTTAAACTTTAGCCCTAAATTAGCCTTCATCAGAAGGATGTATGTATTTGAATATAGAATAGTATCAATATCCTCTCATAGAGGCACATTCCTTCTGGGAAGCTCTGACGTTGTCATAACTTTCCAGGCACTATAGTCACCATGATGTCGCATCTAGGAGAAGGATTATAATTCTGCCCATATATTTAATTTTATTATTTTTAAGTGTTTATTTTTGTATATTGCTTTACTATTCCAAGGAATAGTACTTCTTCAAGGAAGAGGCTATCCTTTACATTTACAACACTGCTTTGCTATTTTGTAAAATCTCTGGTTGACTTCAGTTACTCCAATGAAGACTGTGTGCTCTTCACTGTTAAACCATGGAACACATGTTTATTATATTCATGATGTAAAATAAAATATGAAAAATATTTAAATCATTGGTTTTCCACTCCAGCTGAGTATCAATCCGTTGTCTTTTGAAATAGGATCCTGATGGAGTGTAGCACAAGGTAGGATTTGCAATAGGGGCAAATGTGGATTTTTCCCACACCAGTTAAGAGAAGTAAAGATAAAAACAGAATTAAACATAATGAGGACTTTTTTAGATAGAAAAGGTGATATTTCAGTCACAGGCTTCTTTCCAAAGGGGTGGAAATGAAAAAATGAAATACAGGTAGTTCTCCGCTTACAACCACAACTGAGTCCAAAGTTCTGTTGCTAAATGAAACATTTGTTAAGTGAATCACAGCAGTTGTTAAGTTAGTAACATGATTATTAAGTGAATCTCCCTTCCCCATTGACTTTGCTTATCAGGTCAGAAAAGACGATCACAAGACCCTGGGACACTGCAACCATCGTAAATATGAGTCAACTGCCGAGTCTCTGAATTTTGACCATGTGACATTGGGGATGCTGCAACAGTCGTAACTGTGAAAAATGGTCATAAGTTACTTTTTTTCATTGTTGTCGGAGCTTCAAAAGATCACTAAGTGAACCACTGTAAGTCATTGTAATGTTCTTGCTTGAAATGTCAGGATATAAAAAGATGAACTGGGGTTTGGATTATCTTGCAATACACATTTCATCATTTTTGCACCAGCCAACTTTATAAGGGATTCCATACAAGGTATCTATGAAATTGTCTATTACAGATTTGAGACAGTCTTACTTGGATCAAATGGATGTGGCTGCAGACAGTTCACTACATGATTATCTGCTTCAAGCAGCATCAGGTGCTCAGCAGTATGTCGATCCCAGATGAAGATGTGTCCACAATCTGAACCACTCATTACGAAGTTAGAACCCCAGAAATTGGCTTCTTTTATCTACAGGTAAATTAATTAATACAACAACTGAGGCACTTTATTTTTACTTTTAAGAAGCATCACTGAGAAACATGAAAAAGAAAGCATTCAAATCTGTTCTCTAAATCAGAGATATGCTGGGCCTGAACAGAGGCTTGGTAGTTTTCATTAGCAGAAGGGGAAGTTCTCACATTTAATGTTTAGATAATGACAATTTATTGTGCCAAAATCGGGAAATGTTTATAGAGAAAAATAAAATTATTTTTGTCCAAGTAGCTTGGATTATGCTTTGAAAATAAATACATTAAAAAGCAAAAACAAAAGACTGCTATATTTGATTTTTACATCTTTATATAATTATAGCATCAACTTCCTATCATCTGACACAAAGCCAGACATAACAATCCAATTGATGCAACGTAGAATTTTTCTGAATCAATTTGGAACACTCAGTACAATATCAGTAAATATATTTAGGCAGTAAACACAACTTTCAAAAGGCCAATGTAAATTTTGTTCATTTCAGAATAAACTTCCAAAAAGTGATATGAATTAATTAAAAGGAAGCTAAAGAGGGTGGATGACAAAGTGTCATATATGTTTTAAAATGTAGACATTATTTAAAACAGCAACAGAATAATAGATTGTACAACACAGTATAAGGGAAGTATTTACAGATAGATTAATCATTTCAGCATTCCTTAAAGGAAAAACGATTTAACTTAGATAAGAATTAAATTATACAAATAACTGAATCTGCCTACTGTGTGGGCAACCTACACTAACAAATAAAGATGAAGGCACAAATTGTCAAGTGATCAAATGATAATTATGCTATATAGATTATTTCACCAAATAATAAAATAAATACTGTATTGCATCTAACATTTAAATAAGTCTTCTGAATTACATAATTTCAGAAAGAAGTTTTTTTCTTTTGCAAAGAAGATTAACACCTGCATGCATGGAGAATATTATTCCTTTTGTGAGCAGTAAATTCTAGATGCAGATCTACTAATCAATGACTTGACAGAAACATTTTTTTTTAAATTTAACACATCACAACTTAACTCTTGTCACTGGTATAGCATGTATAGGTTTCAGCATTTTAAAAAGTACTCTTAATTTGCTTTCAATGGTTTTCCATATCTGTCTTCATGGAATCATTGTTAACTGATTTTCCTAAAAAATTAGCAAGGCCAAATCTAATCCATTATTTTTTATTTAGGTTATTTTCTACCCAAATGATGACATCTATACATAAAGCAGCTCATGATATTTGTCATGAACAAATATAAAAAAGACAAAAGTGCCTATCACTTGAACCTAACTCCTGGTAACTACACAGAAATAGGTTGATATTGCCTTCTTCTGGGATTTTGTTTTTCTTCCTAGTCTAGCCTAGGGGCCTGGAATATTCAGATGGTCCTCCAGGTCCAACCTTGACCAGCTTCTGAGATAAGTCAAATTTAGTTGGTATTGACAGCTACTAAGATAAAATTAAATAAATTATCATAGATATACAATATCTACAATATGTTTAGAAAAGAGACAACACTATTAACTGCATATACCAGAATATTTCTATGCTTTTTTTTTCCTTTTATATTACAAGATTATTTAATAAATAAACCAGATATTACTGCTTTGAGAAAAACCTCTCTAGGAAGATAATATTAATTGTCAAAATATTTATTATTTAATGTTCATTATTTAATAAGATAACTTTATTATTAAATAATAATTTCTAAAACAAGATAGCATAGCAATATATTTAGCAGAAATGAGGTACCATTGTCCGTGAGTTCCGATGACCTTTATAAACCATTTTTATTAAAGGACGTCTAATATTTAGTGTTTCTAATTCTTCCATTTCCTTCCTTTCTTTTCTTCGTCTGAAAAGTTCCTGGATACGAGCAACAGCAGATCGTCTGTAGATTATGAACAGAAAGACTAGTATTATCAGAAAGTTACATAATAGACTCATTTTATGGACAGAAATACTGATATTTTCAGTTACGTAGTAATGGGCTACCTTTCCACTGAGATAGCAAAAGAACATTCTGCAACAACGAGAAATAGACAAAAGACAATACATTATTACATAAGGGCATCCTATGGTCAGTTGTAAGTAAATTTTAAAACAGAATAAAAATGTTAGATATGAGCATCTGATAGATGAACCCTAGAAAACACTGCAAATGCTTAAGGAAAGAAATAACTAAAGCACAGCCCAGCATTGAAGTAATAGAAGATTGTCTGCATGTGGGAATGTTATAAAGAGTAGAACACTATGCTTGGCCAGCAGTCACCATATAGGAAAAGTGAGGCAACGGAAAGACGGGGGTATTGACAGGGGTATGTATGCCCGAAAAAGAAAAGTTGTCTTGGAATAAGGAAAATGAATACTTAGCACAGTTGTTTTTAAACTGGGGGTACTTACCAAATTAAAGGGGATAATTTGGACACATTGTGAAAATAATGGAGCAATTTTTAATTGCTTCTTGTGATTTGAGGATTCAGTTTGGGATTGCTGAATTGGTTGTGTAAAACAAGAGTACATGAAATTTTGGGAGTGGATAGGATAATAACATTATTTGATATTGTTTAGAGGTAGCTGAGTTGAATGATTTAAGGACTGGAAAAAAGGAAAAAAAAAATAAGGATTCTGAACTAAAAAGGGGCCACATCATACTGGAGGTAGTTAATAGACTGAGATAAGATCCCACCTCCTCCCTGTGAATATCTTGCTCCTTCTTTGCCATCTTTGTTAATTCTTAAGACATTTTTAGTCTTAATTTTGTTTTACTGTTCATCTTCTTGCTTTTATTGGTTATAAGCTGCCTAAAGTCACTTCTACACATGATGAGTAGCATGATAGACAGACAGGGCAGAATGGACTAATTGGATGTATCTTTTTTCATTTTCTGGAGAACCCCAACTATTACACCAGTGAAACTGAGCAACAAATTGCAAAACAAGTAGAATGTTATTTCCTCCTGAATACCGCCTCACCCCCAGCCCGTAATAATTAAGTGCAGATTTGGCTATGAAAAATATTTGCCCAGTAAATTTGTCTCATGTTATTTGCTTTCTGTTCATACCTGACTTGCTCTTTTTAATGTCTTCCTAATTTAATCAAATTTCAAACATATGCATGTATTTCATACTAATCACATAAAGTTATCAGGTATTCTAAATGTTTGACAGTAAAATTTATTTTAAATTAAAGATTCAACATGTGCAAGCAAAATATTTGTTTTCAAGGTCTCATTCTCTGGTACTCTGAAGATTTCTTTAAAATTTTGTGGCATTTGTTTTAAAACTTATCTTAAAAGAAACCTTCATCACCTATTAACATGGTTTTAAACTATAGAGCCTGAATGTATATATGTGCCAAGGGGTCTGCAAAACCATATTAATATATGGTTTAGGATAAGGATGAAAAAGAAGTGGAAGAGTTCCTCCATTTCCCCTTTACTCATGCCTGAGGAAAAATGTCCAGGCAACTTCAAGGAGACAAAACCCAGTCAAAATGACTCAGATTCTGACATGAGGATGTGGATGTTGCATCCAAGCCAGAGCCACCTAGTTCCCCAAAATAATGACCCCTATGAATAAAGGACTAGGCAAAGTCAAAATAGATGAACTCTCCCAAATATGGGTAAACGGTGAAGCAATGCTGAGACTTTGCCAAAGCCAACTTTTGCAATCAGGGCTACATACAGTAGGTTCACCTAGTCCTGGGTAGAGGTTGAGGGAATTTGGAGGCCAGTTTCTTTACCTGAATGCTTCAGACTGTTATCAGGAATCTCTGACCTGTTTGCCTGGATGATGTTATAGTTCTTATCCTCTCTGTACTTTTGTCAGATGACAGGAATTAACTAGGTATGAATATGGGCTTAAATTTTTTGTGGAATATGCTATGTATTTAGTATGCACCAAATCAAGAAAGTCAAGACAATAGGTAACTATATAATAAGACATCCTATTATCTGAAGCAAATTGTAAAGGTTTTCCAGCTTTTATCATATGGCTAGGAACCAGACACAAACGCTTATATTTTCTATATAACTTTAAACACCCCAGAAGTTTAAAAAGCAGTTTGGGCATTAAATTATGAACAGTCTAAATGGAAAATTTTAAAATAATGCATAATTACTAAGCTAATTTTTGAACTTTCAGAGGTTTGAAGATAGAGACATTTTCTAAGAGTAAACTTAATAATCTTAAACATTAAATCTCAGTGTAAAAGGATCCCATATACTCATTTGGTTCCCACTCACATTTTATACTTATTCTAAATGTTGTCTACTATTACTGTTGAAAAACAACATTAAACGGTTGATCAATCAAAACAAATCATTTCAAACTCATATTAGCAGTGGTTCATGCAAAATATGCTATGTGCTTAAAAAGGGAAATAGAAAAGCTAGATTTGATTTTCACTGTTTTTATACAATCATTTCCAATAAATAATGTTAATAAAGTTATTAAAACCATACACAACATTTTCTTCTTACTATTCCTGGACACAACATGCAGCTAAATCATCGCTCCATAATATCCTTTATATGCAGTTTAGTAGATTTAAAACAGGTAATATAATCACTAATATAGTTAAATACTGCACCAATCTTTTTTTAATGAATTGTTTATAGAATGGGAATTTTGAATTACCTCATTATTCTATCACCTACTGCTGTTCCTCTGATATATCTAGCAAAAGGAATAACAGCTAAAGTCATTCAAGTAAAAATGCTATATGAATTATTTTTAAAGAAAAAACTGCATTCTCAGGCCAACTTAACCATTTGATTTCATTGTTCATAATACTCTAAGTCAGTGGTTCTCAACCTTTTTAATGCCGCGACCCCCAACCGGTTGTAAGTTGAGGACTAAACTGGTCATAAGTTGAGGACTACCCAACCGGTCGTAAGTCAAGGACTTTCCCTGCCCGGGAGCGCCGCACATGTGTGGTGCCGCCCCCTGCACCGACCGAGGCGTAGCTGGCAAGCGGCAGAGACAGAGAGGCCGACCACTGGCTGGGCCACCAGCTGGCCCAGACCAAGGGAGGTAAGGCATCCACCGGAAAAGGGGGAAAAAATGTCGGACAGCCTTGCTTGGCGACCCCCGTGAAATGGTCGATCGACCCCAAATGGGGTCACGACCCATAGGTTGAGAACCGCTGGTCTAGATTGAATGAATAGATTTGAATGGCTGAACCAAAAAGCTATGGCAAAACCAAATACTGCTTTTAAAAATCAATAGTGGGTTTCTCAATACTTCTGAAACATGCACATCTATGTGAATAACATACAACTTAAATTCATACCAATTTTTAGTGGGCAATAAATCAAAATATTCTAAAACAGAATTTGTTAATGTATTGGGACTTTTCAAAACAAAGTTAAAAATAACATTAACTGTTGCTATAGTATCACTTTTTATACAACTCTGTAATAATAAAATGCTCTGTTGCAAAGAAACATTTTATTTCCACTGTTTACCAAGACATAAGTGTGATTGTATTTAGTGCTAGTATGCAGGTGTCCAAGGGGATGGGGACATGAAACTAAATGATTCACAGCATTTTGATGCAAACTCTACCACTTTCATGCATGCGTACCATGACACAGTGCAACTACTGTATGAAGGAAGGAAGCTTGCGTCATGAAATTATATCCTGATAGTTAGGAATAAAAATCTATGTTTTAATGACTCTGAAATTTGGCATTAATTATTATTTGAGGCTGCAATTGTTTATGCTTTAATTGCTTTAACTGAAATCAAGTGTGACCTCAGAGCCATAAGAATGCAAACTTTTCTGTATTTTTTATGGCCTATACAGCATATATTAAACAAGTGATAGCATGGTTTCCCAATATACCCAGTTAGGAAAAAATTGCAATATATTAGAGTAAGCCCTGACCAGGCTTAAATTAACATGGGTAAAAAATGAATGAATTCTTCTCATCAAATGTACAGAAAATAAACCTGGCATCACTAGTATCACATAACCCCCTTTAATAGTCCTTCAGAATCCCAAAAATGTTTAGTACAGTCTCTGAATTAAAAATAATGTTACTTATCCCATTCTGAGCAAATTAAAACAAATATTTAAAAATAATATTTCTATTTAGTAAATTATAGACACTCTAAATCAGGGGTGTCAAACTCGCAACGTCACGTGACATCGCGCAACGTATTGGGCCGATTTTGCCATTGCCGGCAATGGGGTGGGCACAGCTTCCGGATGACGCATCTGGCCACGGGCTGGCAGTTTGACATCCCTGCTCTAAATGCTGATCTGGGACCATAATAAAATGACTGAATTATAGATAATGTATCTTTTCTTTTAATCATAATGCATAATGGAACCTATTTTTTCCAAGCCCCCTCATTTTAGAATCTTTTTTAATAAATCAGAAAGAAAATGTGATCCCTGAAAGACATGAAAAAGAACTAGGAATATCTGCTGTTAGAAATTTTAAAAAATAAACTTATTTATAGGAAAATGGCAACATATTTTATATTTAGAGAAAAATATAAAAATATGGAATAAAAGCTCACTTATTATGTGTGTGTACATCTGCATAATTTGTTTCTGATGACATTATCTCTATTTTCTACCACAGTTTCAAAAGGGGTTAACACAATGCGTAAAAATATATGTAGTCATGTTCGCCAGTCAAATTATATCTATTCTCTACTAGTCAAAGAAAATTTGCACAAAAGAACAAACTTTATCAAATATTCTATTTTGGTCAAGCTTCAAGTCACACCATTTGAAGTGTGGCAGCCAATGTGGTGCACAGGTTAAGAATACTAAGAGACACTACAGAAACCCAGATTCAAATCCACAGTCAGATATCAAAGCTCTTTGAATAATTCTGTACCAAACACTCTCTCGGCCAAACCACGAAAGTCAGCTGGGTGACTTTTTTTCCTGTCATTCTGTTCTCAGCCAACCCTATCTCAAGGCTTCATGTGAGGAAAAGGGGGAGGAAGGAACACTACCTATGGTGCCTTGAGTTGCTACATGAAAGGCAGGATATAAATCAAACAAAATGTGTGTAAACACCACTGCAAAAACTTCACTGGACTCTACGTACTTCAAATACAGATGTGCTCTCTCTCAATACAAGTATCTACATATAACCCCAGAAGTTAAATGATCCAGTTAGGAAACTGTGATAGAACTCCACCCTTGATGTATCTGTGCACCAAATTGTGTAGTAAATTATTGAATAAATATAATGTAGAACTTAATATATTCAGTAAGGTCACTGAAGTTGAGTGCAAATACACACATAAAGCCACAACTGTAGTTACAGCAAGAGTAAATGGTGAAGAATTGACCTGTCATGCTTTTAGTCAATGCAAATTGCCAGTGAGAGAATGTTGAGATCTGAATAAATATGCTGCAAAGTTTTTGGAGGCAGGAAACAAACATAACAATACTAACCTATGACTAACGCCTCCACGATAGCGTGCACCAGGTATGAGAACAGGGTCATCATCGCTATCATCAGTTTCATGGAAAACAGAACTTCTTGTTGATGATTCTTCATGAGCGGCAAGTCCTGAGGAATCTGGTTGAGAATGAGGTTCATTATTGGTATTATTTGGGATTGTAGAAGAATTTGTACTTTGTTGACTCAAGCTTGCTTGCTCTTCCATGGTTTTGCCTGATAAATCTTCTCCTGGGATCTGGCAGATTAAATCAAGATCGGGAACATTTCCTTGTTCCATAGTACTTTCAGGCTGGTCAGATATCTCATTGTCTGATAGAATAAATAATATTTGGTAATCAAAACACTTTTGAATATATTTAACAGAAAAGAACAACATGAATTATATGAACTATACAAAATTGATACAATCTATTAAGAGATATAATAGCTGTAAATAGTGAAAAAGCACTTAATTTTCTTTTAGTTGTTGCTCTATTTGGGTACAACATTTTCCACAAGTATTTTACTCAAAGCAGCTTTCTGAGAGTAGTTAGATAATACACTGGTAGCACAGCGTTATAGTAACAAAACCATAATATGCTATAGTAAAAAATTGTTAATTATTGTTAATTAATTCCAAATATTGCAAAAAATTACAGGAGGTTACCTTTAACATATATATCTGTAATTATTTTACATACCCGAATGCGGTGTATCAACATTTTCATTTGTTGACATTAGCTCTTCAGTATTTGTACTTTCTTCAGGTGATTCTTCAGGAATTTCTAAAACAGAGAATTTAAAATAATGGATGAATACGGCAGATAGATAAAAACCATTTCTAATATTTGCTCTTTACTATAAATGAAGTTTAGAATGATTTCAAAGTCTGCTATATTTTACATTGGAAGAGGCAAGATGGTGCTTTCCAGATGTTTTAAACCACACTTTCTAGTCCTGTTAGTAGGTGTTTGATATTGATCCTTTTAGCAACAGTGGTAAGTATGAAGTCTAAATAATTTTGAGTTTACCAATGCGTCATATGACAAATAAAAGTTACAGCTAAAACATGCTTTATCAAAACATGTTACAAAGAGCCACACATTTCTTTGTAATCCCGATAAAAGAAAAATCTTCTGATTCCTATTTTTATTTTTGCTGCAGATTACAGATATGTATGATGATTTAGTTTTATAAACCTTACTGTATTTATGGTGAGCTCAAACTATTATTTAAACAATTATTAAAATCTATTTAAGGTTGTAGCATTTTCTTTTTTTATGTATATTTTATTAATTTTTATAAGATAACATTCTAGTAATTAGCAAACAGCATGTTGTCTGGATTCATGTAATTAAAAAACAATCAATAATAATTAGTTTCTATATTTTCTTAATCAATATGTTAGTTAATAATATATTTCTTAAATCTTCCCTTCACCCGATAGTCTTCTTCTTACTAATACATATTTAATGCTACATAGTACATATTAGGTGATTCTTGAGCTAGCATTTTACAGCACTTATGTACAATAATAATTTCTGAAAATTCTTGATTATTTAATGCATAGCTCCAGCTTTCTAACAGTTTTTGCTTAGCTCAAATAGTAAAGTAGTCCTCAGGTTATGACGAAAATTGGAACTGGTATTGCTGTTACTAAGTGATGCAGTCATAAATTGAAATCCCAACAGTCCCAGTTGCCATCATGATCCCAGAACACATGGGTGGTTAAATGAGAGAGCCAGAAGTCCCAGAAAGGGAATGTGGGAGACAGTATAAGTGCTGTATGTGGACTCTAGGGAGAGAACTTTAAGGACCAGTTATATGTCCATTTTTTAAAGTGCCACTGTAACTTTGAATAGTCATTCAAATAGACTTAAGCCAAGAACTACTGATATTCATAATTCCACAATACTAAATTTATTATCTCTCAGCTTTCAACAGTTACTTATGTAAATAGATATAATGAAAAAATGGTATAAAATATATTATAAAAAGAAACAGTCACCAATTGAACAATGTTCAACATCTGCTTCCTATGTAAGACTAAGCTGTTTTGTGATTCAAACAATATATTTTTGCTTGTCCTCTGCATCCAAAATGAAACAAAAATATTATTTGGCCTGTCTAAACAAATATTTTGGAGTTTCATGAGAGCAGTCAACACTGTTATAATAATAGAATGTGGTGCTTTTTATAACAGAAATGATAGCACATCTTACTTGATTCTTCACTCTCTAGTGTTGGTACTTCTGAACCTGGAGTTCTTAGGGATTCTTCCTGAGCTTCTATTTTGCTATGATTTCCACTCCCTCTTGAACTTGAAGCTGTACTACTCCTAGCAACAAATGCATGCAACAATATATGCACTATTTTAGATATTTTAGAAATTCTTCAAAAGTATGTAAAGCATAGACAGAAAGATCAGCTCTATAAATTTAATATTAAAAATTAATACGGCTACACTTTAAAAGTATCAGAAATAAAGCAATATAAAATTCAAATAGTAGGAATCAAAACTCACAATTAAAATGTCTATGGAAATCAGAAGGGTAATAGAATTACATTAGTGTAACAATGTGTTCATTTTCAGATGGAAGGGAAACAATTTGATAGAAAGTATTTCCAATATTAAGAAATCCCCTCAGTTGTTTGCACTTACATTTTTAAGAGTGTCAGCTATAGTACCAGAGTCATATAGTTGTACGATTCCACCCTATTTTGAACTTGCCCAAATAGGAGAGCAGGAATGACAAGAATGTAAACAGCATCCACCATCAATTGATATTAAAGATAAAAAGGAAATCCAAGTCTCTTCTTTTAAGATAGCAATGCTTTAACCAGCATGAAAGACTCCACAGAAATAAAGACAAACATGGCTAGAAACCAGTGGCATTTGTAACAAGCTGCAACAATGTCAAAATGATAGCACATGTATCATGACATTATCATCAAACATAACATGGTTTGGTACTTGCATCACAAGTACATAAGTTGCATCATGACATCATGCCATTATCTTCACCTTGTTTCTGTGAAAACCTATGATATAAACCATATCTTCACTGTATTCCAGGAAGAGATAAACATATAAGATAGCAGCTGTTTCTGAGCAGATAAGAATGATAGTTCAGAATTTATAACTAATCAAGTTTCAAGGTCTTCACATTCTCTTATAGGACTGCCCTTTTAGAAGAGGAGAGTTGAATTTCTTAACTTAGGCCCTCAGTGCATCTGTTGATAACTGACACTTAATTGCATTCTCTGAAGTCCTGCTCCTTGTCCAAGTTATGTTGGAATGTTCCAGTCAATAAGAGAACATGGAAAAAAGCCTCAGCTTCTGAGAAAATGGAGGGGCAGCAGCAGGTCTTTTCAGTCTTTCCTCTGGGGTAGGTGAGGGTTGCCCTACTTCTGCTATAGAAAAATAAACCTTTGTAATAAGTCCAATGTATCATTCGGGCACTATAGAGCCCCTATGGAACTGTCTGAGATCATGATTATTGCCAGGAACATGCACATTTTTGCCCCAAATCATTTTGTATAGAAAACATCTGTCAGAGATTTATAAGAAACACAAACTATGTATGCACAAATAACCACTTAAGGAATTGTCATTACGGGCGGGCAAACTACTATTTTCTAATTGATTTTCTCATGTTGATAACTTTATAGTTTAGGACATGATAGCCTATTCTGAATAGAATCAATCTGTCCAGTAGGATTGAGAAAGGGGTTACTTTAAATTGTAATTTTTAGCCCTTCTTGATGATAAATCTCCTCCTCTGGAATAGCCTTATTCCTACTAGTGTTCCAGAAGATTATTAAGATTTGTGTATTCTGAATGGACTTTAGCATTGAGAGAATGGATGGAATATTGCCTCAATAAATGATGCTATGCTTATTCAAGGGATATAATGGAAATCAGATGTCCAATTATTGATTTTATTTATTTGTATGCCACCCTTATAATTTTACAAATAACTCACAAGATGAACATATTGAACACACTTCTTCCTCTTTTCCCTATAACAACCCTTTGAGGTGGGTTGGGCTGAGAGAGACTGACTAGCCCAAAATCACCCAGCTGACTTTCATGACTAAGGGGGAACTTGAACAATGAGTTAATATGTTTTACCAAACTATCCTGATATATGCAATACGTTAATCATAGCATTGTCATTACAATTTCTTTATATTCTTCTAATATTTTTAATTGTCTTGTAAATAGATCCTCTATCTGCTTCCCAACGTTTCTAAAAAGAATCAGATACTATTTAGTTTCTAATCAAATTATTTATACTATTACATAATAACTATAAAAATAAAAGTTTCAGTTCAAAATATAACCCGCATTTGTAATACTTACCATTCATCAGTGAAATCTAATTTAATTGTACTTGTAGTTGTTCCTTCTGTGCTATAATGTAAACTTAAAACAGGTTCACTTGCTCCTGCCCGTGGACTTGCTTTTTCATCATCTAAAAAGAAAGTGTTACAAATACAAATAGATTTATTTATTTATTTATATTTATTTATTAATAAATAAATTTTTTACAGCTGCCCACCTCCCTCACAGTGACTCCAGTTGGCTTACAAAAATAAAACCCCAGTGTGTGCTAGCCATGGTCTTTTAAAGATATATAATATGTAATATTAATGTATAATATGTAATAACGGGGCCTTAAATGGGCCTTAGAAAATCTGAGCAACAACAAAGCTAGTGGAGGTGACAATATTCCAGCTGAGCTATTCAAAATCTTAAAAGACGATGCAGTAAAAGTGCTACACTCAATTTGCCAGCAAATTTGGAAAACTCAACAGTGGCCACAGGATTGGAAAAGGTCAGTTTACATTCCAATTCCAAAGAAAGGCAATGCCAAAGAATGTTCAAACTATCGCACCATTGCACTCATTTCACATGCTAGTAAGTTATGCTTAAAATCCTACAAGCTAGACTCCAGCAGTATGTGGATCGAGAACTACCAGAAGTACAGGCAGGATTTCGAAGAGGCAGAGGAACTAGAGATCAAATTGCCAACATACGCTGGATCATGGAGAAAGCTAGGGAGTTCCAGAAAAACATCTACTTCTGCTTCATTGACTATGCAAAAGCCTTTGATTGTGTGGATCACAACAAATTGTGGCAAGTTCTTAAAGAGATGGGAGTACCAGACCATCTCATTTGTCTCTTGAGAAACCTATATGTGGGTCAAGAAGCAACAGTGAGAACTGAACACGGAACCACTGAGTGGTTCAAAATTGGAAAAGGAGTCCGGCAAGGCTGTATACTGTCGCCCTGCCTATTTAACTTATATGCAGAGCACATCATGAGAAAGGCAGGGCTAGATGAATCAAAAGTTGGAATTAAGATTGCCGGGAGAAATATCAACAACCTAAGATATGCAGATGATACCACTCTAATGGCAGAAAGTGAAGAGGAACTAAAGAGCCTCTTAATGCGGGTGAAGAAGGAGAGTGCAAAAGTTGGCTTGAAACTCAACATTAAGAAAACCAAAATCATGGCATCCGGCCCTCTCAATTCCTGGCAAATAGATGGGAAGAAATGGAGGTAGTGACAGATTTTATTTTTCTGGGCTCAAAGATCACCTCAGATGGGGACTGCAGCCAAGAAATTAAAAGACGCTTGCTCCTGGGGAGGAAAGCTATGGCAAATCTAGACAGCATTCTAAAAAGCAGAGACATCACCCTGCCAACAAAAGTGCGTATAGTCCAGGCCATGGTTTTCCCAGTTGCAATGTATGGCTGTGAAAGTTGGACCATAAGAAAGGCTGAGCGCAAAAGAATTGAGGCCTTTGAACTATGGTGCTGGAGAAGACTCCTGCGAGTCCCTTGGACTGCAAGGCGTTCAAACCGGTCAGTCCTAGAAAAGATCAACCCCGACTGCTCTTTAGAAGGCCAGATCCTGAAGTTGAAACTCAAATACTTTGGCCACCTAATGAGAAGGAAGGACTCACTGGAGAAGGGCCTAATGCTGGGAAAAATTGAGGGCAATAGAAGAAGAGGACGACAGAGAATGAGATGGCTGGATGGAGTCACTGAAGCAGTAGGTGTGAACTTAAATGGACTCCAGAAGATGGTAGAGGACAGGAAGACCTGGAGGAACGTTGTCCATGGGGTCGCGATGGGTCGGACACGACTTCGCAATTAACAACAAATGTAATAACGAATTTGTAATTCTGTCCTGCTTGGCAAAGGCAATAAATTTAGAAATGAATAAATAATTTCTACGCTAATAAATGCTGGAACCATTTTATCTTTTTAAAAATATTAATGTTTATTATATTCTGTGTATGAATGTTTCCAGTAAATATATTTAATCATTTTAATTTGACAATTGAAACATTCTGAGAACTAATAGTTTCCAATTTTTATTGTAACTTAGTAGAAAACTTTAGTAGTCAGCAGGATAACAGACTAAAACACTAGTACTTTTATGTTTATATATGGCTTGCCTAACCTCTTTTGAGGAATAATAAAAAATGCAATTTCTTATTACAAACAGAACTAAGTAAAATATAATTATACCTCATGAATTTAGATATTTTAAAAATAAGCTTCATGTTGAATTATCTGATACACACACACACCAGTAGCCAAGTTGGGGCACATTATTCTGATCTATGTGAATACTAAGAGACAATATCAATTTGATGGCACATCATCATCATTGAGCCCAAAAATATGTAACAAATCACTGTTTTTATTTTACAAAATTCATCTTATATAAGAAAAGTCACAGAAGGAATGACATAAACTACAAAAATAGGGATCTCACACAAGTTTTGTAATTCAACATGCTGACAATGGATGCCTCCAAAATATTTCTTTATGCATATTATGGATGATTGTGTAGTAAACCAGATATTTAGACTGGATTTACCATTTGTGTCCCATCTATCGAATTCTTCCCAAGGACCTGAGATAGGTAGATATTGTTGTTTAATAATATTAAAGGTATTGTCACAGGATGTAAGATGATGATGATGTTTATTAATTATTCAACCTTTATATATATATAAAACTCAAGGCAGTGGGCATACCTCATACTCCCTGCCTACTCTCCCCATAACAATCCTGAGAAGTGGCTTTTCTGTGACAGAGTAACTGGTCCAAAGCTTCATTACTGGTTTTCATATGTAAAAGAGGCTTAGAATTTATAATCTCCTTGTTTGTAGGCCAGCACTTAACCACCATATCATACTAGCATATACAATATATCAGAACTGTGTATCAAGAATTAAACACCTGAATTTAAAAAAGTCTCTCAAAAGTTCTTTGTAACCCATCCAATGATATATCTAATTAGACAGATGATTTAAAAATTTACCTTTGATAGCTCTGGAGCTAGATTATATTACCGCAAAACAATTGCATCTTTATATGATATTTTGATTTAATAGAAAGGAAAGAGAACTTTTAATATTATACATCTTTAAACATATTTCCGTCAACTCATATAAAAATCTTAAAGTGTGGCAGCAATAAAAGTATTCCATAATATATAATCCTTAAGAATACTTAAATGCATCCTTCTAAAAGACAAGCTAAAGCACTAAAAACAGATGTAGTATCTTTTTTTCTTTTTAAATTTACTTATGACTAGAGGAATAAAATTGTCCTGCTATTAAACAAACTATGAAAATGAAGGCAATATGATACAAAGAATTATGACAGTTAAATCATAATAATTTTTAAAAAGGCAATTAAAGCTGAAATATTAAACATACTTTAAAGTAGGGATGTATCTTCAGACTGCCTATCTAAAAGCTGCACACTTAGGCTTGGCTCAAGACATCAGTTCATCTCTTTCCCACAGAATGTCAAAGGATATTTGTCATTTTATTCCTGCATTGCATGAGTTGAGTATATGGTATAGCTAATGAATGTAATTTCTAAAGTCTTCATGCTATAAATTGTTTATATAGTATACATGGCAGAGATGGAGAACTCTCTGCCATGGTTTGAGAAACTGATTGCTTCAAGGAAGTGAAGTTTGTCAAAGGAGGTCCACCCATACACTTAAGCCCTAAAAGGCAATTCATTTCCACATGCAGATCAGTCACTCTATGTTGTGGTGTCGCTCAGTGAAAAAAGGAACTAATTTGAAATATTTTGAGGATGGAGCTTCATTCTGCCAATGGACTGGAATTTCATTCTTCAAAAAATATCTGATGCAAGATATTAAAAGGCAAAAGCTTATTATCTTATATTGTGTTAAAGCATGAAAAAGATTTTCTGTTTGTTCTAAGATCAGCAACATGGAATTTCCCAAGTTCATTTCAAACAAGGATTATGCTTCATTAACTTTTATATATTTATAAGGATTAGCAACATCAATTAATAAAAAATCCAAATCATGAAGTGCAAAACTGCCAAACCTATCTTTATCATGCATTGTTTTTTAACACATCAGATAAATTTTAGTAATTTGTGAGTTAAATTAAAATGCCACCTAACAGAAGGATGAATTTATAGTTTTGAACAGTTTTTTACTTCTTCAAATGGAAAAATCTTATAATTTAATTGTTATTCAGGTGAAATTGAGTTGTGTGTCTCAATAAAAGAAAACAAAGCCAAAAATACATAAACCTTTATTCTTACAAATCATAATGGAAAAAGAACCCTAGGGATTTTCCTACTATGAAGCTTTACCATAAACAGCTTCAGATCAGATACCCAAACAACAATCTTAGAAAAACATACATAATTCCTGGTTGATCTCAAAGGCTACCTTTGCAGTTTTAGCAGAAATGAAGTGAGATAGTTTCCCTTGGACTTCCATTCCAGGGAATACCTAACAAAGTTTAACTAAATCTAGTTAAATGCTGGCACTAGGGTTAATGAATTCTTTCAGTTCCTCAGGTTGAAATAGAAGGGCTTTAATGGTACAGCTGATTATGCTTGAACAGTTTTTTTTAAAATCACATTTTATCCAGACATGACATATCCTTAACTAAATGTGTTACAGAGGTAAAAATCGATAACAGCCAAGTATTAGTCAGTTAACTGTGTGAAGATAAATACCAACAAATGCAACAGGCAAGCAGCAACTGCATACACTATTTTGTTCCTGAGGGAAAGCGTCTTGAGCAAACAACAGCAGCACAAACTACGTAACTACATTAGCTGCTTAATAAACCTTGACAAATGACAACCTGTAGGCTGAGGGTCCTGTGAGGATCCCTTAGGGGAAGACTGATCAGAGCTGGAGGACTGCTGTGCTGAACCCTCCGCTAGCTCTCGCTGTCTCTGCTGTTCAGCCTTCTTAAGCCTCAGCCGCTGCAGGCCCCTACGGAGTATAGCTAACTCAGGTGCCATTAATTCTGACAGGAAAAAGGGTGTAAAAAAGAAATAGGCATAGAACATAAGATAAAAGGAATATGACTAAAGAGCAAGATAATAGATATTATGTAGAAAATACAAGACAAGCATCAAATTTCATTTTTAAAAGCAGACTATTAATACTTAGCAAAGGAGCAAAATGTGCTTTACTTATTTTATTATTTTTTTCTTAAGTATGAGAATTATGCCCATTATATATGTTTTCTAGCTCTACTTGCTCAACTACTAAGGCAGTTAAGTTCTGTAAAATAAAAAAAAAAGATATAACCATGAAGATGCAAAAAATATATAATGGTAATTTCCTGCACAACTCCCACGCATATAACTGTTTCTACTCTAACAATATTTATTGGGAATTAAGAGATCAATGCAGTATGTGGGCAAAAGTGAAGCTTAACTATCAAAGTTGTCATCAAAATTTTAGGTTATAAACTACAATATAAAATGTAGCTATACAGTCCTATTTGACTATGATAAAGCACATTACTGTAAAAGTTGTCTAATGCTGAAATGAGGGAGGAGGTGTTTTTGTTTTTTGTTTGCTTAGTCAGTTTTCAAGTTTGGGATTTGGTCCTTCTGCCAATAAAGAACAAAACTGAAATATGAAGATCCATGCTTACTCTAACATATAAGCGTGTGTCATAATTTTTGTTTTCACGATGAAAGTGATTAAATTAGACAACTGCTAAGCTGAATGTAATGAATTACTTCTCTATTCCAGTCAACCACAACATATCAAAAGGTTTCCCAATACTCAGCAGTAATCACCCAGGAGGAATAAGGGCAATTAGAAGATTTTAGTGCTCAATTTGCAGAAAGGAAACAATTGCCATTTGATATATTCTAATGTTTTCATGTTCTAGTACAGTGATTCTCAACCTGTGGGTCGGGACCCCATTTGGGGTCGAACGATCATTTCATGGGGGTCGCCAAAAAACACAGTCCGCCATTTTTTCCCCCTTTTCCTTAGCTGTGCTACTCCCTTTTATTCTATTGGCTTTTGAAAGCCAATAGAATAGACTCTCTTGAATAGAGTCTAATTCTATTGGCTTTCAAAAGCCAACAGGAATTGCCCAGGCTGTCTCTGCCCTGCTGAGCCCACCAAAAGTTCCATTCTGCAAATGGTGCTGCACCAGTTGAGTAGTCCTCGACTTACGACCGGTTGAGTAGTCCTTGACTTACGACCGGTTGGGGGTCGCGGCATTAAAAAGGTTGAGAACCACTGTTCTAGTATATGAATAAGTGAGAAACTAAGGACCACTATAACAGTAGATCTTATATAAAGAATTAACATTATGTAATTCAGAGCATAATAATGCATTGCTTTATTTTCAAACCATTATTATATTGCTGAATTGATTTCATGACATTTTTTGGAAATATGGGTTAAAAATAAGAAAAAAGGAATTAAACATTCAAGATCACTTGTACTAATGACAGGGACAATTACTGCAACAAATTCTTCTCCTATGGGCGATACCTTTTCTTAGTAACAATCTGATTTAAATAATATTTAAAGCATTACCATTTGAAGGAGTATTAACTACCTTATATCAGATTTATTCTAATACATTAACTGAATTGTTTTCTGGCTATATATCACTTAAAAATAGCTTGGCTATAACAGCCACAACACAGTGAGCTAATTGCTGAAAGGTACATAGAAAATGTCCAGTTATATAGCACTATCAAACCATCTTAAAAAAGTAATCAAGGTTGGATGGAGTCAATATTTGGATGGGAGATGTCTCAGAAATTTCAGTCCTATACTAGACTTGGAGAGGTGGGATGGGAAGCCATTTCCACTGTTGCCAGGAAAACAAACTGGGTATATTCTAAAGTTCCTCGGAGTTGAGATGTTCTCCGAGGAAACTTCATTTTTTTTATTTGGAAGATATTCTTTTTTGTGAAAGGTTTTAGAACACTATGGCCTGGCAAAGGAACACATGCTAGAATTTTATTGTGACAGGATTGAACAATGTAAACAAATGAAATAAATTCAAAATAAACTGCATTCTAATTGTTTCATTCTGATTTGTTTATTTAATAAATTTATATGGGTACTCATCTCACAAGAAGTGATTCTGGGTAGCGTACAGCAAAAAGTATAAAAACAAGAAACATGTCAAACATAGTCATATTTTACAAAAGCACACACAAGAGATTTGATCAGCAATAGGGTCACCTCAAGATATCAAGGGTGCCCTGAGGACAAAGCCAGGTAAATGTAGTTCACCTCCCAGTGCCAACAGAATCAGTTAAGATGCTAATCCTCCAGGACAGAAACAATTAGGTAACTTAGACAAATAAAGGTCAATGGAATAGCTATTTTCTCCCAGTTATTTCACTCTATACAAATCACACATTTGCAAAACTAACACTCATCCACAGGAATTCTATAGATGAGGAAGCACATATTAAGCAATGTTTGAGAAAAATCTACGATTGATAAATATGTTTTACCTCTAAATCCAATTCTTCTATACTGCATTTGAAACAATATAATAACAGTTTTATATGATATTCAATATTTAAATAAAAATCTCTTATATTGTTTTCTAAGAATTAATACAACATACCATACTAATTTTGAAACTGAAGGGAATAGCTGTTTTAAAAGTACATGTGGGGCATTACTTGGGAATTACTAGCTCAAACAAAAGCAATCCAAAATTCCACTGAGTTGATATAAACTTGTAAGTATGCCTTTAAGTGTTTTTCAAGTTATCCTAATAGCACTTAAGAAGAGCATTTTCCAAAATGATAGATTGAGGGGAAAAATTATTTGAGCCTTTGTCAATTTTGTACATTTGCCCACTAACAAAGAAATGATAAGTCGATCGTTTTAACGATAGGTTTATTTTAACAGTGAGACACAATAACAACAAAAAAATCCAGAAAAACACATTTCAAAAAAGTTATAAATTGATTTGTATTTTAATGAGCGAAATAAATATTTGACTCCTTCGCAAAACATGACTTAGTACTTGTTGGCAAAACCCCTGCTGGCAATCAGAGGTCAGACGTTTCTTGTAGCTGGTCACCAGGTTTGCACACATCTCAGGAGGGATTTTGTCCCACTCCTCTTTGTAGATCCTCTCCAAGTCATTAAGGTTTTGAGGCTGATGTTTGGCAGCTCGAACCTTCAGCTCCCTCCGCAGATTTTCTATGGGATTAATGTCTGGAGACTGGCTAGGCCACTCCAGGACCTTAATGTGCTTCTTCTTGATCCACTCCTTTGTTGCCTTGGCCATGTGTTTTGGGTCATTGTCATGTTGGAATACCCATCCATGACCCATTTTCAATGCCCTGGCTGAGGGAAGGTTTTCACTCAAGATTTGACGGTATTTGGCCCCGTCCATTGTTCCTTTGATGCGGTGAAGTTGTCCTGTCCCCTTAGCAGAAAAACACCCCCAAAGCATGTTTCCACCTCCACGTTTGACGGTGGGGATGATGTTCTTGCAGTCATAGGCGGCATTCCTCCTCCTCCAAACATGGCGAGTTGAGTTGATGTCAAAGAGTTTTCACCCAGTTTTCTGAATCATTCAGATGTTCATTGGCAAACTTCAGATGGGCCTGTACATGTGCTTTCTTAAGCAGGGGGACCTTGCAGGTGCTGCAGGATTTCAGTCCTTCATGATGTAGTGTGTTACCAATTGTTTTCTTGTCCCAGCTGCCTTGAGATCATTGATAAAATCCTCCCATGTAGTTCTGGGCTGATTCCTCACCATTCTCATGATCACTGAAGCTCCACAAGGTGATATCAACCTCTTATAAAGAAAACTTATACAAAATGTTTTATAGATGGCACTTGCCACCGACAAGATTAACAAAAATGTTTAAAAATATGACGGATAAATGTTGGAAATGTAATCATAAACCAGGTACTTATTATCATTTGTAGTGGACATGTGCTAAAGCAAAGAAATATTGGACAAGAATACATATCTGGCTAGAAAAGATGCTAGGGAAACATGTAGATTTTAAACCTGAACTTTTTTTGTTAGATATAATGCCAGAAAAGCTTAATAAACAAAGTATATATTTGATTCTGCATGTAACAACAGCAGCAAGACTTATATTTGCACAATATTAGAAAAATGAAGAAACACCATCGGAGGAAGAAATAATTTAAAAAATGCTAGATTATGCAGAAATGGACAGACTTACTTTGACATTGAAAGAAAAAGGAGAAACAGAATATTTTCAAATTTGGGACTTATTTTACCAATGGTTGGAGAAACGAACTAGGGATTAGGAATTTAATTTGTATTAGTGAATGATGAACTCAGACAACACATTTGTTGAATAAGCACTGTTGAATTGTATTAAAAATACAATTAAATAAATAAATAAAAAGAAACTCCATGAGGTGATCTTGCATGGAGCCCCAGACCAAGGGAGATTGACAGTTATTTTTTGTTTCTTCCATTTGTGAATAATCGCATCAACTGTTGTCACCTTCTCACCAAGCTGCTTGGCGATGGTCTTTTAGCCCATTCCAGCCTTGTGTAGGTCTACAATCTTTTCCCTGACATCTTTGGACAGCTCTTTGGTCTTGGCCATGGTGGAGAGTTTGGAATCTGATTGATTGCTTCTGTGGACAGGGGTCTTTTATACAGGTAACAAACTGAGATTAGGAGCATTCTCTTTAAGAGAGTGCTCCTAATCTCAGCTCGTTACCTGTATAAAAGACACCTGGGAGCCAGAAATCTTACTTATTTCACTCATTAAAATGCAAATCAATTTATACCTTTTTTGAAATGCATTTTTCTGGATTTTTTTTTTATTGTTATTCTGTCTCTCGCTGTTAAGATAAATCTACCATTGCAATTATAGACGGATCATTTCTTTGTCAGTGGGCAAACATAGAAAATCAGCAGGAGATCAAATAATTTTTTCCCTCATTGTAAGAAAACAGATTCTTCAATAACTGGCACTAGGTTTATTATTATAGTTGATTAACCCTGCTATAGTTTCA